AGTAAGACACACAGTTATGGTATTTGTAGTTTCCTCTAGTCATGAATTATTATTACAAGGAATCCTACCATACATTACATGGCCTCCTGCAGTCTTCAAAAGGGTGACACCACATTTCTTTACCATACCCTTTACAAAGGAGGCATAATAGTCACTACCTATCAAAATATTTATTGGGCCTACAGAATCATCACTTACCCCAGAAGGTGCTAAATTTACATTATGTTTAAGTCTTTCTGTAGCTTTACTAAGCCCTACTGTAGATATTTTCTCTGGAAGTCTATCTACAATTACTGCATTAACACGCTTTTTCTCATTACCCAACCTGACAGTTACATAAACAGTGTCATACAATTGAGACCTTTTATCTGAGAGAAAACCAGATAATTTTAAAGTTGTGGGATCTCCCATCTGTACTTTCATACCATCAAGACATTTACGTTTAATGAAAGTACGTTGGGATCCCTGGTCCAATAATGCAGTTACATTTTTTGATTTATGCCTTTTATCATGAATTTTTACCTGTAACACAGGTAAGGCTACTTCAGCAAAACCATCATTATTAACATTAGCAGCAATTTTTACATTAGCTACTGTTGTGTCAGGATTGTCAACATTATCATTATTATCAACATTATCATATAGACCTTTACACATGACTATATGGTGTCTTCCTTTGTGACATTGATAACAGTTGTTTAATTTGGCATAGCAATCCTTTACATTGTGATTACCTAAACGTCTGATACATCTGTCAAGTTCCTCCAATCTTTCAACTTTATCATTCCATGAATTGTATGCATTGCAATTCTTAGAAAAATGAGTACCCTTACAGAAGAGACAATCTCTCCATTCTTTGACTGGTTTCTTATTAACTGGGCTACTCTTAGGAGGGTACTTATTAGCTACACTTGGCTTATCAATTACACATACACTTATACACATTAATATAATCTTTAGCCACACTTGACTTATCCAAATTAATATTGTAATAATTATAATCCACTACACATTCAGTAAATTTGTGAACTTAACATCCACCTCCTTCTGTCATTTCACATATAATTATTAATTAATTAATTAATTAATGACTTCACTAATTACCTCCGGTTCAAGAAGAACCAACGGGCAAATTAAATGTGGAAAATTGCATTTATCTGAATGTAACTAATTATGTACATAACAGTAAATGATAACAAAGATTATTATTTATCAATGTTACATAGACAAGTAGGAATATGGGACACCTAGGTTGCAAAAAATATCCCCCTTCGATACCTACCACTGTCATAACCACAAGTTGCTCTGGACCTATTAATTAAATGAAATATACATACACCAGGAATACTGGTAAATATATAAATTTGTGGACTGTATATTAAAAATAATAAATGGTTATATATATACACAATTACATAACAGAAGGAAAATATATCTCAATATCACTCACCAATTTGACTGGAGATTAATGTGTATCATACTCAGAAAACCTCACTAACTAAATCTATGAAAAATATGCTGGCCAGAATTACACACAAATCTAGAGAGCTTATCTGAGGTTCCTGGAGCTGTCTTGTCCAGTCGTCTGATATCTCAAGTTATGCAGGAATGCACATCCACCAATTTCGCCTCCTATTTGAGAGGTGTCAACACAATTTTAACCTCTAGAGCACGAAAAATTCTTCCCATTACACCAACGTTTGTACAAAATTCAAAACCAAGATGGCGAGTCTCTTCTTTTTTTTCGATAACACTTTTTAAAAATACAATATAGGGCATCTATTTACCTATAAATTACCGTATTTCCGGAAAATATACAGTATTTTCCACAACACTATCGTCATAAGTAAAATATCCTCATTAATTTTTTGAAGTATTAAATAGTTAACATCTGGCTGGAAAACATTATGAGGTGTGTGCTTAACACACCTGCTGTCCATGTTCACATAGCAGTAAAATAGGTATCTGGGTGTTAGTGGACTGGTGTGGATCGCATCCTGGGTGTTAGTGGATTGGTGTGGGTCGCATCCTGGGTGTTAGTGGACTGGTGTGGGTCGCATCCTGGGTGTTAGTGGACTGGTGTGGGTCGCATCCTGGATGTTAATGGACTGGTGTGGGTCGCATCCTGGGTGTTAGTGGACTGGTGTGGGTCGCATCCTGGGGACAAAATTGACCTAAATTGCGGGAAATGCTCAGCATAACAAGGGGCTCTCTATATAGTACTATGTCACTGATGTCAGCTATGGTCTGTATAAGTTATATCATGTACTTGTAGAAATAAAGATTATTATCAAAACAATTCCTATAAATTCGCAGTTCCAAACATTTAACCCCATGGAAGGGTCAAGGCCGTAGGCAATCAGGTAACATTTGCTCCACGGGTAAACAGATCTTAGAACATCACAAACCATCAGCAGTTTCTGCTAGATCACCAGAAACCTCAATCTAACATTCAGAACAAGATACAGATATCTAGCTGACTGTGTAAGACCTTACACACCTATGCCAGTATCAGCATACGTACACAACAAACTGCTATGACCCCAGTGGAAATAAGTCACTGACCTTTTTGGGGTTATTCCAGCTAATTTACACTATGATAATTGTACTTGTGTTTAATAAACTTATTTATCCAGCGCAAGTAGTGTGGGCTTGCTCCTCCGTTTGCTCTCGCAGATACTCGGCCACACATACCACTGGGTGCTCTTATGTCATTTATACATCAGTCACAGCAACATGCCGCAAGTCACATTTTTCTCCAGTCAGGAGTCATATATTATTATTATTATGATCAAGGGGACGAGCTAAACCCGTAGGATTATACAGCGCCTGTGGGGGGGTGGAAAGTATTCAGGCTTAATTTGGGGAACTGGAGCACAGATCCAATTCCCTAGATCAAGAGCCCCTCACCAACATCAAGGAGCCTTCCTTGAGGGGACAGGAGTCATATAGAGCCTTGGAAATGGGAAGCATTCAAGTCCGATTCAAAGGAATAAGCCCAGTTCCCCGTATCAAGAGTCCCTTACTGGCATCACGGCACATCTCTCGAGGAAAGTCCTAAGTCTCAGAGAAAGGGTATCAGGATCATGTGCAAATTATACATTGCTTGGAGAACTGGAGGTAAACAGGGTTGATCCAAGGAAGGGGAGGGTAGCTCCATTTCCTTGGATAAAGAACACTCAAGCTACACCCAAACACCTCTTGCAGTGACTGTCTGTATACATTGTAAATCATCATTGTAACATATATACACTACAGTGATGTGTATCTGTGTATATGCTAATTATTACATTTTTGGGCGAGTGGTGATTATTATTATTATTAGCAAAGCTAAGTGCTAAACCACTGAGGTCAGGAGTGATAATTATTAATATAATCAAAAAGAAGTGCTAAGCCACAAGGGCTATACAGCACTAAGGAGAGTGGTAAACCTTTATGGGTCACACAACACTTGCATGATTTATTTTAGATACTCATAGCTGTGTATCATTATACAGACAATAGTATTATTGAGGAGTGCTAAACCTGTAGGGATTATACAGTGAGTGTGTGTGGGGGGGATGGAAGGCATCCAGACATAACTCAGATCAAGAGCCCCTCATAATCAGGTTCAAAGTTAGGGAATTATTAAATTCACAAAATGTGCCAAACCTGTGAGAGCCAGATCCGTTACCATGAGCCGGCCTCATGGGGTTATATATGATATGATCACAGCTAAGCACTAAACCCACAAGGGTCATAATTATGAGGATTATTGCATTCTTGGGCAAGCACTAAACCTGTTGGGGTCATTTGTTTTTAATCGGAGGGGAAGCACTAAACCCATAGGGGTCATATAGTGTCTAGGAATGGGAGACAATCAGGTGTAATTCTGGGAAAGGAAGGGTAATGCCAGTTCCTTAAATCAAGAGCCTTTCCATGAGATGTGTAATCTAGTGTAGGAGTCATAGAGTGCCTGAGAAATGGAAGGTAATAGTGTTTGATCCAAGGGATGGCAAGACAAGTCCAATTCCTTAAATTAAGAACTACTCCTAGCATCAGCAAACCTCCCCTTGAAGGGAATTTAGGAGGAACCAATAAACTCGTAGGGCATATATTATAATTATAACTAAGTATTAAACCCACAAGGGTCATACAGCGCTGCAGGGTAGGCGTGTTAAAGGTTTAATATACTTGATCAGACTAGTGAGGGAGGAGAGTATATAAGCCAACATTGAAGACCCATCACCTGAGTCCACTAGCATCTCACATCCTGCTCCTGCTGAGTCCACCAGAACCTCACATCCTGCTTCTGCTGGGTCCACCAGCATCTCACATCCTGCTCCTGCTGAGTCCACCAGCACCTCACATTCTGCTTCTGCTGGGTCCACCAGCACCTCACATCCTGCTTCTGCTGGGTCCACCATTGCCTTACATTCTGCTTCTGCTGGGTCCATCATCACCTCACATCCTACTTCTGCTGGGTCCACCAGCACCTCACATCCTGCTCCTGCTGGGTCCACTAGCATCTCACATCTGCTCGCGGTCCACACACTCCTGCTCCTGTTGGGTCACCAGCACCTCACATCGTGCTCCTGCTGGGTACAGACCTCACATCTGCCTGCGGTCCCCCGGCACCTCACATCCTGCTCCTGCTGGGTCCACTAGCACCTCATTGTCTGCTGGGTCCACTAGCACCCATAGGGGTCACATAGCAATTTAAAAATGGGAGGCAATACTACTTATCTGTAAACAAAATTTAATTATGTGATGAATGGTTTTGAAAACTGACAAGTTGAAGAATTGAGACACTTATGCAACACATGGGAATCTTTATTGAAGAAACGTTTCACCACACAGTGGCGAAACTCATCTCCTTACCCATTTCTACTTTGTATTGGACTAATGAAGCCGCTGTGTGGCAAAATGTTTCTTCAAAGATTCCCATATGTTGCCTAAGTGTCTCAATTCTTCAAAATTTGATTATGTTATTAATTAAACCAGGTCAATGAAAAAAACCATAGTCATATTCATTTATTTCATATATTTAAATCTTATAAAACAAGTTAGCAATGTAAGACAAACTATTTTAGTTTTGAAGAAAAGGAGACTTAACATTAGTAAAAATAAGGTCATGTGTCTAGAGCACCCCGGGCTCAATGAAGACTAACACAAGTCACTCTAGAAGGAAAAAAAAATTCTTATAACCAATGCCTGGACTAGCGAATAAAACTGGTGTTTGACAACTACGTAGTTATGCAGAACCTATGCAGAGCTTCAATGGAATACATTAGTTTTAATACAGCAATGTAATGAAGTTTTAATTATGGAAAATTAAACAAACATTTAAAAAAAAAAAAAAAAAATCTAATCTAACTTATTTTTGAAAGCCCTCAAATTCATTTTTAGAACTTAGTTTTATATGAATACAAAGGCAGGACAGTTCACCTTGCATGCCACTTTACATATAATGTGTATACAGTATATATATATATATATATATATATATAACCAAGGTGACCCAGTACCAAGCACAGCACTGATGTAAACCGAGACTTTGTACAAACATCGAAGTGCGCACATACCTATGTATGTATGTGTGCCTGTGTGAGAAAAATTGCCTGTGTTGATGTAAGCACAAATTATATTATATACAGTATATGAAAGCATACATAATATATAATGTAGAAGTGTCTGGATAGTGTGTGTGTATTGTAAATTCATGCACAGTGTGTATTCATGTGCACAGTGTGTATTCATGTGCATAGTGTGTATTCATGTGCAGTGTGCATGTGTATTCATGTGCAGTGTGCATGTGTATTCATGTGCATGCATGTGCATAATGTATCCATGTACTTAAATAATGTATGCATGTGCATATTTGCAATGTGTGCATAACATGCAAGTGTGTGTGTGTGTGCCTTTGTAAACATGTACGTGTGCACAGTATGTGCACGTGTGCTTTAATTGCAGGTCTGCACAATGTGTGTTTTACGTGCATATAAGCATGCATTCTTTCCATGTGTGCAACTTACATGCATTGTGTGGATGAATGTGTGACCTATGTATATTTAAGAATTGTTCATTATAATTATTTGCATCAATGTGTGGTGTGTGTACACATGCTTATGCATGCACATTCATGTCTCTAGTGTATGTGAATGAAAATATGCAATGTCAATTTGTGTGCGTACATATATATACTGTATGGTAAATACACAACACACATTCATACATACATATACACACACATACATACTCACACAAACATTACATATATATTGCCATATACCGCTCCATTTACATTCTTATGCATATTTACAAAGGTTACAACCATATATGATTATTTCCCCGTCCCCCCTCAAGCATCAGATTATTGCCCAGAATAAAGTTTTCGCACGTCTCCAAACTCGATGCTCCACTGTAAGACAATACATCACTATTTCCGCCACTTTTACCTGGTCAGGAATTTGCAACCGCTATCAAGCAATTGCCATTCTTCTTACACTCACAGGTAGCTGTCAGGTCCCAGAGTTGTTAGTGTGCAACCAGTGTTCAGGATTTGACGAGGGTTTTTTGGAGAACGTGAGCATCGGCAGGTTCGATTCTCTTGTAATAATGTTGCTTTGTTTCCACTACTTCGAATCCAAACTTCTTGTAGAAATCCAGTGCACCGTCATTGTTAACTTGTACATGTCTGAAAAGAACAGAGAAAGTGATCACAAAAGTAGAACAGTGCACTGCCATTGTTAACTTGTAGAGTAAGTCTTCACTTAATATCACCGATAGGGTCTTACAAATCGTGGCTAAGTGAAATGACTTATAATTAAACCAATTTTACCTTAGGCTAACTGATATTATCAAGAGTTTTAATTTCTTTTCTAGCATCACACTTTTGTTTTTTGTGGCCACAGGCATCATGGGTGCATGTTTAGCACAGGCATCATGGGTGCATGTTTAGCACAGGCATCATGGGTGCATGTTTAGCACAGGCATCATGGGTGCATGTTTAGCACAGGCATCATGGGTGCATGTTTAGCACAGGCATCATGGGTGCATGTTTAGCACAGGCATCATGGGTGCATGTTTAGCACAGGCATCATGGGTGCATGTTTAGCACAGGCATCATGGGTGCATGTTTAGCACAGGCATCATGGGTGCATGTTTAGCACAGGCATCATGGGTGCATGTTTAGCACAGGCATCATGGGTGCATGTTTAGCACAGGCATCATGGGTGCATGTTTAGCACAGGCATCATGGGTGCATGTTTAGCACAGGCATCATGGGTGCATGTTTAGCACAGGCATCATGGGTGCATGTTTAGCACAGGCATCATGGGTGCATGTTTAGCACAGGCATCATGGGTGCATGTTTAGCACAGGCATCATGGGTGCATGTTTAGCACAGGCATCATGGAATAACAGTTATTTTCATATAGTCGGACTTGAGTCCTGGAAATGGGAAGTACAATGCCTGCACTTTAAAGGAGGGGTTTGGGATATTGGCAGTTTGGAGGGATATGTTGTGTATCTTTATACGTGTTTGTAGATGAATGGTTCAGAGAACCGACATGTTGATAAATTAGACACATGTGCAACTCTTGGGTATCTTTATTGAGGAAACGTTTCGCCACACAGTGGCTTCATCAGTCCATACAAAGGAGAATCTTGAAGAACAGGAGGAGAATGAGGTAATTAGTCCCTCAACCTTGAGTCGATGTGGTCAGTCCATCAATCTTGAATAGAATACGGCATACGTGCTGAGAAGGAGCTTATAAACCGTTGGCAGGAGAGGTGCAGAAGTCATAGGTCGTGTAACATTTGTTCAATGTTGAAGTAGGTCGTGCCCAAGAATTAGGCAAGCGAAGAATTCCCAAGTATTAAGATCCCAAGAAGTTGCAGTGTCTGACAGGTTTGTAGATGAATGGTTCAGAGAACCGACATGTTGATAAATTAGACACATGTGCAACTCTTGGGTATCTTTATTGAGGAAACGTTTCGCCACACAGTGGCTTCATCAGTCCATACAAAGGAGAATCTTGAAGAACAGGAGGAGAATGAGGTAATCAGTCCCTCAACCTTGAGTCGATGTGGTCAGTCCATCAATCTTGAATAGACTGACCACATCGACTCAAGGTTGAGGGACTAATTACCTCATTCTCCTCCTGTTCTTCAAGATTCTCCTTTGTATGGACTGATGAAGCCACTGTGTGGCGAAACGTTTCCTCAATAAAGATACCCAAGAGTTGCACATGTGTCTAATTCATCTTTATACGTATATACTTCTAAACTGTTGTATTTTGAGCACCTCTGCAAAAACAGTGATAATGTGTGAGTGTGGTGAAAGTGTTGAATGATGATGAAAGTAATTTCTTTTTGTGGATTTTTTCTTTTCTGGGTCACCCTGCCCCGGTGGGAGACGGCCGACTAGTTGAGAGAAAAAAAAAAAAAAAAAAAAAGCGAAAATTGAAAGGAGCACCTCCTACCATCACGCAGTTGAAAAATGAACAATAACAAACATGGCAGACTTGCTGAGCACTTTTGTACTGCATCATTTATTGTTGTGTATTTGTATGATTATTGTATACTTTATGAATCTTTATTTTACAATAATTTGTACTCTTTAATTTTTTTCCTCGTCAACATTTTAACAAAGCGATATTGAACGAAACTACATTATTCGAGGGCCTGCTGTACATGTCTGCAAAGAACAGAGAAAGTAATCCTAAAATGAGAGCATGATTGAAAAAACTCAAGGAATGGCCAGGATTTGAATCCAGTCCTGCAACTTTAGTAGTAAAAACACATTAATTTTTTTAATAAAGATTGATCCAAGAAGGGGGTAGCTTATTTTTTTGTAATCAAGAACCCTTGAACATCAAGGGCTGGGAGGAAGAGAGAATACTGAAGGGAGAAAACATTTTCTTTAAAAACATTGTAAATTCATTTATTATTTAGGGGAAAATTAACACTATACGCAGGGAAAACCATTATTTTATGACACTTCACAATGGATGCTACCTGAAACATAACCGTTCTAGAAACCAGTGATACTTTTTTTAACACAACGGCCGTCTCCTACTAAGGCAGGGGCACCCAAAAAAGAAGAAACAAAATTTTTCTTAATGGGTTAAGCTGTAAGTTTTTCCCTGCTTAAATTATCTCTAATTTACTACTTGCTAGGTTATGCTATTATTTATTTCAATTTATTATAGCTTAAAAGATGAATAACTTACAAAAAAATGGAGTTGAAATTTCCTTCTCTCTCCACAAAGTTTAGAACATGTTCAAGCATCTTTGTACCAATGCCTAAACGTCGATATGGAGCAAGACAGCCTAGGGTCATGATGTAAAGTCTCCGCTGGCCATCCAGGACATCAACTCGACAGCATACACCACCTACAACCATGTCATTATAGTATGCTGAAAAGAAGAAATGTATTTTTAATATGAGCCTTATTACAAAAACAATTTGCCAATTTATGAAAATGAAATGTGAAACATATATGTAATATAGTTTAAATTAAAGCAATATTAATTGTTTGATCATTTTGGAGTTTAAAATGTGACAAAATATACTAGTGTACATGTACATTATACTTGTGGGATGTACAGGTACAGCACTATTTATTTTGGAAATTCCTAGACATTTGAAGAAAAAATTTAACGGAGCATCGGTACAACAACCATAGAAGTTAACTGGGAGGAATTTGTGTTTAAAGAGAACAAATAATAAAGTACCAATAGTCAGAAAATTTTTCAAGATTCAGAGCCAAAATATTTACTTTGAAATTATGAAGCAAATTTTAAGAGGAAAGTCACCAGTAGAAATGACAGCAGATTTGACTTGAGTAAACAGAATATACACTAGCTAAGAAGCTGACAGAACTAGGGAAGAATAAAACCCACTTGAAATAGCAGATAATAAATATTTAAGAAAAATGTTGGAGGACACATGGTAACAAAAGCCATAATTTACCCAGTAATATTCAGTCAAGACAGATTAAATATGAAGAATAACTGAAAACATTGATATAACTTTGGAAAAGATGAAAAAATTACCACAATGTAATTAGTTTTGGCAAAACCAAGTAACACAAGATATCAATATGTGAAAAATGCTTCTTCTCAAACTTAATGTTTAAACTTCAAGTTCCAGACTGGCCTCAGGGCACCATTTTTCATGAAAAAACAAAGCAATAATCCTCATAACTAAACACAAACTAAAATGTGGGACATTCATAAAAAATTTTTTAATATGCTGGCCGTCTCCCAAGGAAGGTGACCCGAAAAAGAAACACCTTTACCATAATTCACAATATCTCTAACATACCTGCATTAAATTTGACTATGCAAAGGAAAACATTTAATTTGGGAATGACTCTCACCTCATTAAAAAAGCTTAGTAATGTATACGTTGTTCTTTGTTTATTCACCAAGAAAAAAAAACACCTGAGAGGTCTTTGTTAAAGATGACCCATTCAGTTATTCCGGCCCTATGGCGGAAGCGTGACAAGTCAATACATTTATAACCCATGAAGGTATGGTGGTTGTTGACTATGGTAAATGATGGCAGGCAAGACTACTGGTGCTGGGCTCAGTGAGCTTAGTACTAAGTACTCAGTACTTAGTACTAAGTAGCTTAGTAATTTTTATTTTCAACTTCAGTATTACTATACAGTGCAGTTATTTGGTGCTTGAAACTTCACTTAAACAAGAATTTCCTTTTATAAGACATGGTTAAAAGGAGTTTAGCAATAAATAACAGAAATAAGAACCAGCAACAGTCCTATTGCAAGCAGTAATGGGCAGATGGCAAGGAGTGACACCCCACCCAACACAATTCAATGCACTACTTAATACTGTACAGTGGACCCCCGCATAACGATTACCTCGGAATGCGACCAATTATGTAAGTGTATTTATGTAAGTGCGTTTGTACGTGTATGTTTGGGGGTCTGAAATGGACTAATCTACTTCACAATATTTCTTATGGGAACAAATTCGGTCAGTACTGGCACCTGAACATACTTCTAGAGTGAAAAAATATCGTTAACCGGGGGTCCACTGTATTTGAAGATATACATCACAAGAACCATCAGCAATCATGAGCACCAGCAGCACATGCACTATGAAACAATGAACATATTTAGAGATCAATAGTCATGAAGTAAGAGAACAACACAGATTAACGTTATGCAGAGAATCACTACACAAAGGTCCCGCCCTGTAGCTGTAGGTTTAGCATAACTTTCAATATTAATTTTATTTTTATAGTCTTGAAAGATTAAGCAAATTGTGTATGAGATGTGAATTATTCCAGCCATGGCATTATTATTTTTATCCTTAACCCTTAAACTGTCCAAACGTAGATATACGTTTTTTCAACATTTGAAAGTATGTAAAAAAGTAGATCTTCGTTTCTTTTTTTACATTTGAAAATGTAAAAAAACCTTTGATCTACTTTTTTTTTTGTTATATTTGAAATTTTGTAAAAAAAAAAAAAACATAGATCTACTTTTGGAGCACTACACATGTGAACATAGATCTGCTTGGACAGTTTAAGGGTTAATAATCACAAATTATTTAGAATTCAACTATTTTTAAAAGAAAAGACACTAAGATCCAATCCACATTAGAAATACAAATAATGCAATTATCAACTCATGTAATTAGGTTTCGAACACAAAAATAATATGCAACACTTACCTAATTTAGCTAGTTCTCCAGCCTCAAGTACATCCTTATAGAACTTGTCATTGTAACTCACTGGAAACACTACCTGGTTCAAAAGTTTCAACTGTTTAATGTTGTGTGGGGTCACATCCCCCAGCTCAATTCGACCCCTGAAAAAACAGTAGAGTATTGTGTTTCAATTAAAACAACAGTTTGATCATATTATTATTATTATCAAGCCCCATACGTTGTAGTCACTTGGGATCCAGGAGAAGCCGATCTATCATTTATGAGGGGGAAAAAATTGGGGAACAGCTCCAAGAATAAAAAAAGAAATCACGACCCACCCTGAGCTATTGTAACCTCCACTGCGATAGGTAGTGCTGCTCCCTTGAAACCACCTCTTACCCCACCTGATGCATATCAGGATGGAACCTCCAGAACTGACTGAGCAAGGCTAAGTAAAACTTTTGGTTAAGTGAACTGTGCAATCATCTCTCAGTTTACAATGGCAGCTGATAAACCAGAAAGGATGCCATTCTTTTCAGTCGCCTCTCCTGGATCCATAGTCTATCTCCAGTAATGCTAAGCCTCTTTTAGAGGCCAAGCCAAATGGGGCTACCCTGTCTCAATGGAGAGTACACCAACACTATGATCTAATTTCCACTGGGTGGAGCGACATGACCACCTCGGTACTAGCAATAATGTTACGTTAGACCAAGACTGATAGCAATTCCTTTTTCCTTCTGTATAGGAGCTGGATCCCACAAAAGTGAAAATAGCACACTAAATGGGTTCACAAAAGGAGAGGGATGGAGGGGGGTGTATTTAAATCTGATTCAAGAAAGAGATGGAATTCCTTGGATCAAAAACCTTTTGCTATAAAAATGAACCTCCCCTCATCCCCTTGGAGGGGTAGAAAGATTTAATAATATAGTCAACACTTGTATCTACTTTTCAATGATCTTATCATTATATAAATCAAGATTTTAAAGTCTACACATGAATTTTAAGATATACCCCATAAGATGTTTACATTATTTGCTCAAGTTTTCAAATCTATAAAAGAATTTTCTCTTAAGTATTTACAACTAAGTAAAAAAAATTTGCTAATGATTGTTACAACTAGTGAATTTTATTACATGTGAAAAGGGACAAAGTTAGCCTCTTGTTCTAAATAACTTACGAAATTTGTACATTTCTGATAAACTACGTATTACAGTAATGCCCCACCTGGTGACAGAGGCACTTCAAATAAAGTGGTTGTACATTCAGCATAAATTTCCCAATAGACACCTATGTTATTATCAGATGTGTTCCGTGAAATGGGCAGTACTGTAGTGTATATACTATACACAGCAGGACAAAGATGCTTTCCATATCACGGATGGCAGGGAATACATACAGGTTCCAGTAACTCTAATGTTGACAAAACTCATTTTCTGGAAGTTGCTAAAAAGAATACTTCTCTTTTAAATACAGAATGACGAATTAAAGGGAGAGCATGAGCAAAGCTGTTCTATTAGCGACAAATAGAAAAAAAAAAAAGTCGTGGCTTCAACACAGCCCAGAAAAGGTTATTAAATATTTATTTTTATCACATGAATCTTCACATGAATCTTGTTGTGAAGTCCATAACATAACACTGCAGTCAAGATATATAATACAAGTACACGTACAAAATTTTAAGAGGAAAAACTTGAGATTCCAAAAGATGACAGATAATGAAACTTTAGGCTGCCACTATGTCAGAAGGGGTGAAAATTTAAATATACGATCTCTTCCTCATTTTAATTTTCATTATGTACAGTACTACAAGGGCTAGGTATTATAATTCATAGCTGAGCAGAAATAGTAAACTCATACAAACAAAGAAGCATTCAGCAAACACCTCCTCTATTCTGTATTAGTTAGGATTACTATAACCTGTAATAGCTGCAAATGATCATTATTTTATTATATTAAAAAAGCAACAAACCAGTGCAGGTCACACAACGTTTTGTCATACGAGTTATCATGCATAAAATGTAATAAAAGGAAAAATCCAATATAAATTGAAGGCTTGAGCAAAATATTAAACATGTCAACATACAGTACATTTTATATTTAATATTTATACTACAGAAAACCTCGATTAAACGGACCTTTATTTAAAGCACCTTGAGGAAACAGAACAAAATTTGCTAGGTCTCTTAATTCAGAATCAAGCAGTGTGTGTGTGTGTGTGTGTGTGTGTGTGTGTGTGTGTGTTGGTTAAAGGACTGACTCCATTTGTTACGATCAAGGCAAAATAATCTCATCTTATCTACCACAAATCTCAATCACTGCTGGCTTGCTACACCCTATTAGTCGGTTAAATCGAGGTTTGATGTACATATGTATTGGACTTAAATGAGTTAAACATATATTACTATACTGTACACACCCAAATATTGCCCCATGTCAGGAATATTTGTTTAACCCTTTCACTGTCTCATATGTAGATCTACGTTACTGATGCCAGGGTCACTTACGTAGATCTGTGTTCTGAGCTCAGCTCCCTCAGATGAGCTGTAAGCGGTAAATTTTGGCATTGGCATGAGAGAACGAATCTGTGCAGCGAGTGTGCATAGCATAAAAAAAAAAAATCCTGCCCCACAAGGTGCATAATGGGAAAAGCAAACCTCTGATCTCGTGTTTGCTTTAAAATAGTGATGGAGGTGTTTTCTAGGATGGCTTTTATGGTTTTATTAGCTGTTTCTTGATAACATTTGACAGAAAGGAAAACATATTACCAAGATAAAGATTGTTTAGGTTGGTTTCATGACCTTAAGTAGCTTAAAATTGGGCTCAAAGTAGCCGAGTTATTTTTAACAATTTCCCCGAGAATAGGTGAGGCCCCTCTACATTTTCAAGTCTGTTTTATGAATATTAACTAGGTCTAATTCAATACCGGAACAACATAAACCATGACTAATCATTCCTGGTTACATTTAATCATCTGAGAAGTAGGGTAAAAGTGATTTTTTTCTATGTGATGGCAAATTCAAAATGATGGCAAGTGTAATAAAAGAGGCCTGAGGATGCAATTAATGAACTTAAGAAATGTTGCTTTAGTGCTGTGTTTACAGTACTTATTTTGGACTGTTTTTAAATTTAAGAACAAACCAACACTCCTCAGACAGCTAAAACATCTCCTCCAGGGCGCAAAGACATGGTAGAGGTGGTGATTACTTCCTCATAGTGGTGAGAACGAGCGAGGATGGTGAAGAAGGGAGGAGAAGCACTCAGAGGACAACACAGGGCGCAGCCATGATGGCCTCACTGATTCATGACGTCACTTCCCTTGACGACCACCAATCACAAGCCAGTATTTTGGCGTCCCTAGCAACCACGACTCTATTATTATTTCTCATAATAATAATAATGATTACTTGGTAATTATCAACATTATTATTGTTTTTATTATCATTGTTATTATTATTTATTAGTAGTATTATTTTTATTAGTATTATAACATGGACTACTAGGTCGCGGGCGCTTTGACCCTCAGAACACACTTCTGGAGTATATCTGGGGAAGGTTTCGGGGGTCAGTGCCCCCCGCGGCCCGGTCTGTGACCAGGCCTCATGGTAGATCAGGGCCTGATCAACCAGGCTGTTACTGTTGGCCGCACCTAAACCGACGTATGAACCACAGCCCGGCTGGTCAGGTACTGACTTTAGGTGCCTGTCCAAAGCCTTCTTGAAGACAGCCAGGGGTCCAGGTATTATTATTATTTAATACACAAATAACCCGCACATAGATCAGGTTCAGGCAGGTTTGCCAGGACGGGACCTGGTCCAGGTCTTCTCCAGGTGGTGACTCGGCAGCGGCTCCTGAAGGAGTGTCTGAGTTTGTACAAGTGTTGTATATTGAAGATTGAGACACTTATGCAACATATGGGAATCTTTATTGAGGAAACGTTTCGCCACACAGTGACTTCATCAGTCGATGTGTTCAGTTGGACTGAACACATCGACTCCGGGCTGAGGGACTGATTACCTCAAACTCCTCCTCTCCTTACACCTTTCTACTTTGTATTGAACTGATGAAGCCACTGTGTGGCGAAACGTTTCCTCAGTAAAGATTCCCATATGTTGCATAAGTGTCTCAGTGTCTCACTCTTCCACAGTGACCATTCCTGTCCAGTGGAGTACCGTTTAAAGCCCTATGGCGGGGGCTGACACTTCTGTCAGACGTCAAATGAGGAAATGGTATGGTATGTACATAAGTGTCTTTTTCCACAGACGTCAAATGTTCAACACACCATGCCCTTGTCATACGGCTGCCCCCGCCATAGGGCAGTACTGCACTTGACCTGAAGAAGACTCACCATGTCCTTGTCATAGGGTAGTACTGCACTTGACCTGAAGAAGACTCACCATGCCCTTGCCATAGGGCAGTAGTGCACTTGACCTGAAGAAAACTCACCATGCCCTTGTCATAGGGTAGTACTGCACTTGAACATCAAAATGGTATACAATACCGACAGGTTGTTATTTAAGACACATATGCAACAGTTAGACAACTTTATTCCGAAACGTTTCGCCTACACAGTAGGCTTCTTCAGTCGAATACAGAAAGTAGGCAGGAACAGTAGAGATGTGAAGACGATGTAATCAGTCCATCACCCTGTTCCTGCCTACTTTCTGTATTCGACTGAAGAAGCCTACTGTGTAGGCGAAACGTTTCGGAATAAAGTTGTCTAACTGTTGCATATGTGTCTTAAATAACAACCTGTCGGTATTGTATACCATTTTGATGTTCATCTTGTCAGACACTGCAACACGTGGCATCTTGGTACAGAAAACACCTTGGACAAGCTTTTCAAGTGAGAAGGGTTGGATCTGAGAGGGACATGACCTCTCAGTTGCCTCTCACTACTACTACTACTACTACTACTACTACTATACTACTACTACCCTGCACCTCTCCTTCCGACAGTATTTAAGTCTCCGCACTGTCGCTTGATCTTTCAGATAGTTCCTGACATATGGAACTGAACTGCTCCAGGCCGAGGGACTGACAACCTCAAATTCTACGACTTTAAGGGTGATGGACTGATTACATCGTCTTCACATCTCTACTGTTCCTGCCTACTTTCTGTATTCGACTGAAGAAGCCTACTGTGTAGGCGAAACGTTTCGGAATAAAGTTGTCTAACTGTTGCATATGTGTCTTAAATAACAACCTGTCGGTATTGTATACCATTTTGATGTTCATCTTGTCAGACACTGCAACACGTGGCATCTTGGTACAGAAAACACCTTGGACAAGCTTTTCAAGTGAGAAGGGTTGGATCTGAGAGGGACATGACCTCTCAGTTGCCTCTCACTACTACTACTACTACTACTACTACTACTACTACTACTACTACCCTGCACCTCTCCTTCCGACAGTATTTAAGTCTCCGCACTGTCACTTGATCTTCAGATAGTTCCTGACTATGGAACTGAACTTCTCCAGGCCGAGGGACTGACAACCTCAAATTCTACGACTTTAAGGGTGATGGACTGATTACATCGTCTTCACATCTCTACTGTTCCTGCCTACTTTCTGTATTCGACTGAAGAAGCCTACTGTGTAGGCGAAACGTTTCGGAATAAAGTTGTCTAACTGTTGCATATGTGTCTTAAATAACAGTACTGCACTTGACCTGAAGAAGACTCACCATGCCCTTGCCATAGGGCAGTACTGCACTTGACCTGAAGAAGACTCACCATGCCTTGTCATAGGGTAGTACTGCATTGACCTGAAGAAGACTCACCATGCCCTTGTCATGGGTAGTACTGCACTTGACCTGAAGAAGACTCACCATGCCCTTGTCATAGGGCAGTACTGCACTTGACCTGAAGAAGACTCACCATGCCCTTGTCATAGGGTAGTACTGCACTTGACCTGAAGAAGACTCACCATGCCCTTGTCATAGGGCAGTACTGCACTTGACCTGAAGAAGACTCACCATGCCCTTGTCATAGGGTAGTACTGCACTTGACCTGAAGAAGACTCACCATGCCCTTGTCATAGGGTAGTACTGCACTTGACCTGAAGAAGACTCGCCATGCCCTTGTCATAGAGCAGTACTGCACTTGACCTGAAGACTCACCATACCCTTGTCATAGAGCAGTACTGCACTTGACCTGAAGACTCACCATGCCCTTGTCATAGGGTAGTACTGCACTTGACCTGAAGAAGACTCACTATGCCCTTGTCATAGAGCAGTACTGCACTTGACCTGAAGAAGACTCACCATGCCCTTGTCATAGAGCAGTACTGCACTTGACCTGAAGAAGACTCACCATGCCCTTGTCATAGAGCAGTACTGCACTTGACCTGAAGAAGACTCACCATGCCCTTGTCATAGAGCAGTACTGCACTTGACCTGAAGAAGACTCACCATGCCCTTGTCATAGGGTAGTACTGCACTTGACCTGAAGACTCACTATGCCCTTGTCATAGAGCAGTACTGCACTTGACCTGAAGAAGACTCACCATGCCCTTGTCATAGAGCAGTACTGCGCTTGACCTGAAGAGGCTCACCATGCCCTTGTCATAGAGCAGTACTGCACTTGACCTGAAGAAGACTCACCATGCCCTTGTCATAGGGTAGTACTGCACTTGACCTGAAGACTCACTATGCCCTTGTCATAGAGCAGTACTGCACTTGACCTGAAGAAGACTCACCATGCCCTTGTCATAGAGCAGTACTGCGCTTGACCTGAAGAGGCTCACCATGCCCTTGTCATAGAGCGTATGCACTTGACCTGAAGAAGACTCACCATGCCCTTGTCATAGGGCAGTACTGCACTTGACCTGAAGAAGACTCACCATGCCCTTGTCATAGGGTAGTACTGCACTTGACCTGAAGAAGACTCACCATGCCCTTGTCATAGGGCAGTACTGCACTTGACCTGAAGAAGACTCACCATGCCCTTGTCATAGGGTAGTACTGCACTTGACCTGAAGAAGACTCACCATGCCCTTGTCATAGGGTAGTACTGCACTTGACCTGAAGAAGACTCACCATGCCCTTGTCATAGAGCAGTACTGCGCTTGACCTGAAGAGGCTCACCATGCCTTGTCATAGAGCAGTACATGCACTTGACCTGAAGAAGACTCACCATGCCTTGTCATAGGGCAGTACTGCACTTGACCTGAAGAAGACTCACCATGCCCTTGTCATAGGGTAGTACTGCACTTGACCTGAGAAGACTCACCATGCCCTTGTCATAGGGCAGTACTGCACTTGACTGAAGAAGACTCACCATGCCCTTGTCATAGGGTTAGTACTGCACTTGACCTGAAGAAGACTCACCATGCCCTTGTCATAGGGTAGTACTGCACTTGACCTGAAGAAGACTTCGCCAATGCCCTTGTCATAGAGCAGTACTGCACTTGACCTGAAGACTCACCATACCCTTGTCATAGAGCAGTACTGCACTTGACCTGAAGACTCACCATGCCCTTGTCATAGGGGTAGTACTGCACTTGACCTGAGAAGACTCACTATGCCCTTGTCATAGAGCAGTACTGCACTTGACCTGAAGAAGACTCACCATGCCCTTGTCATAGAGCAGTACTGCACTTGACCTGAAGAAGACTCACCATGCCCTTGTCATAGGGTAGTACTGCACTTGACCTGAAGAAGACTCACCATGCCCTTGTCATAGAGCAGTACTGCACTTGACCTGAAGAAGACTCACCATGCCCTTGTCATAGAGCAGTACTGCACTTGACCTGAAGAAGACTCACCATGCCCTTGTCATAGGGTAGTACTGCACTTGACCTGAAGACTCACTATGCCCTTGTCATAGAGCAGTACTGCACTTGACCTGAAGAAGACTCACCATGCCCTTGTCATAGAGCAGTACTGCGCTTGACCTGAAGAGGCTCACCATGCCCTTGTCATAGAGCAGTACTGCACTTGACCTGAAGAAGACTCACCATGCCCTTGTCATAGGGTAGTACTGCACTTGACCTGAAGACTCACTATGCCCTTGTCATAGAGCAGTACTGCACTTGACCTGAAGAAGACTCACCATGCCCTTGTCATAGAGCAGTACTGCGCTTGACCTGAAGAGGCTCACCATGCCCTTGTCATAGAGCAGTACTGCACTTGACCTGAAGAAGACTCACCATGCCCTTGTCATAGAGCAGTACTGCACTTGACCTGAAGAAGACTCACCATGCCCTTTTCATAGGGCTGTAAAAGCTACTACACTTGACACGAATGCTCACCGTACCCTCGCCATAGGGTTGTAAATGGTAAATCATGTGCACACACTCCCGGGAGCCACTGTCGAGTCATCACCTGGAAAAGACCCGGTCCAGGACCTGTCCTAACAAACCTACATGACTATGGAGGCGTGTTTAACACCAGACGTCTGAGAGCTGACATAGGAGAGACAAGCTTATGACGACGTTTCGGTCCGACTTGGACCATTTACAAATCCTCCTCAATACTTTGGAGAACCTGGCCGCTCTCTGACACACTTAGAGGACAAATGAAATGTTAGACTTGCTGACACCAATAATGTTTTTTTTCTATTATGTTAGAGATCACGATCATACTAGATTATGCAGCTCAGTTTTGGTCGCCATACTATAGAATGGATATAATTTCACTGAAAAACATTCAGAGAAATAAGTCACTCTGACTTTTTTGGGTTATCCCAGGTTCTCTACACATTTGTTGCTATGTATGATAAACTATGTAACTGTATTTGTGTATACCTGAATAAACTTACTTAAGAACATAAGAATGGAGGAACACTGCAGAAGGTCTACTGGCCCATATAAGGCAGGTCATTATCAAAACTAATTACAGAATTAATCCAGTGTAGGGGCTACATAGTGCCCGGGCAATAGGGGGGGGGTAATTAGGTTTAATCCACAGGGGAGAATAGCTCCAGTTCCTTGGATCTAGAGATCATTTAAGGCATCCACCCCCTTGATGGACAGTACAGCATTACATGTCCTGTGTAAATAAATTTATTTCATGATTTTACTGAGAACTTCTGGCGTTTTTACGTAAAATAAATCGTTGAGAAAATCAGTATATAATAATGCAATAAGAAATTAAAATATTTAGTTTATATCGAGATCCTCGCTAGATTATCATGTGATATTATGACGTCATAAATAGATCCATGACGTCACAGGGTGAAACAATGACGTCACACCTATCTCAACCTCCCTTATTACGAATTATTGAAATACAAAATAAAGACCAAAATGCATCAATTAGCCATAAAAATGTCCTAAAATACAAATTTGATCTAAAAGTTAAGAAATAAAGGTATTTGAGGTTTTGTATACATTGAGTGAGGAATCAAGCGGCGTCACAAGACAGCTGGTCCTAAAATCGAAGACCAACACACCTTCTCCAAGTTGTCTCTCTTATATAGCGGAAAACAGCACTTACACCTCTCAAAATGGTAATGTATATTGAGAGTATATATCGAGGAGTAATGTGTGTGTGTTGTATGTATTGTATTATTAAGGATAAGGGAGGTTTTGGGGGGAAATGTAGTGCGCAAGCTCAGACCGGCGCATTAACACTTGTAATTCTTAGATTTATACTGAATATGTTATTATTTTGTAGTTAAATGTAGTTAAGGTAATTATCTGTGTGTTTTAATTTAGTATATTAACACTGGTGATGTATTTGTGTTGTGGTTTTTTCAAGATTGAGGCAGATCTGGTCACTGGTTTTTTGAGTCAAATTTCTCGCTGATGTGACGGGAATAAAAACCTTATTTAAGCTTATTTTCATGCTGGTTTTTGATCCTAGGAACAGGATCAGCCCCCAAAATCTTGGTTTAGTGTTCCCCCATGAATTTAATGTATTTTGGGAATAGGTTATCTGATTGTCTTTCATTCCCCTATGGGTTTAGTGCTCCCCATGAATTTATTTTTTCATACATTATCTGATTCTTATTCCCCTATGGGTTTAGTGTTCCCCCATGAAGGTAGTATATTTTGGGAATACATTACCTGATTACTTTTCATTCCCCTATGGGTTTAGTGCTCCCTATAAATTTATTTTTTTAAACATTATCCGACTCTTATTCCCCTATGGGTTTAGTGTTCCCCCATGAATGTAATATATTTTGGGAATACATTATGTACGTAGTCAAGACCAGTGGTACAGTCTCACGTTTTATGTGATTAAATGAGATTTTACTTAACTCTGTCCTGTGGTTTTTTTTATCTAAGTTGGTAATAGTCGTAACTTATTACCCCCTCGGTCCCTTCCTTCCCATGCCCCCTTACCAGGGATATATGGAGAGAAACTACCTTACCTTAAAAAAAAAAAAGTTGAATTTTAGGAAAATAATGGTAGTATTTTCAACATCGTTGTTTTTCGGATATTTGTCGTGAAAGTTAAGACACTTGTGCAACATCTGGTTATCTTTATTGTAGACGTTTCGCCATCCAGTGGCTTTATCAGCCACTGGATGGCGAAACGTCTACAATAAAGATAACCAGATGTTGCACAAGTGTCTTAACTTTCATCTTGTCAGTATTGTATACCTGTCTTGCACAACATATTTGTCGTGTTGAGGACTCCTGCATACACAAATAACCCGCACATAAAAGAGAGAAGCTTACCACGATGTTTCGGTCCGACGTGGACCATTTACAGTCACTTTGTAAATGGTCCATGTCGGACCGAAACGTCGTCATAAGCTTCCTTACTTTTTATGTGCGGGTTATTTGTGTATCGTTCCAGTCACGGTATTGTGCCTTTTTTTGTTATACTCCTGTATACATTACTGTAAATGAAATATTAAACTTAATATTTTTGGTATTACACAAGACTCAAATACCTGACTGGGCAACATATGCTTGATACAGTATAAGTCATAACAGAAATACTGAGATGCTTTATGGGTTTGGACATACGAAAACCAAAAGGCTTTCTCTTTAGCTTTTCTTTATGGAAAAGTTTTGAGTATGGATTAGAAACCTACAAGTTCCAGTCAGCTTACCACAGTTTATTTATTTTATTTTTTTTTGGCTGAAGTTTTTTAAGATTCACGAGTCGTGGAGGTGGGAAGTACAGTGACTGTACTCTGAAGGATGGGTGTTGATAAGATGCAGTTTTATAACTGTAGTGCGGGCATGCCTCTGGCAAGACTGATGGAGTGAATGATGATGAAAGTTTCTTCTTTTCTGGGTCACCCTTCCTTGGTGGGAAATGGCCGATGTGTTAATAAAAAAAAATCTCAAATCTATATGTTCATTTGTATTTTGACTTAATAACTTTTAAGAGACATTTTCTGTGTACTGTACATATAAAATCTTGTAATTAAAATTAAGTCCATAACATTTACAAAACCTGAAATAGGCACTACAGTTCGGCCAATCAGGATTTGTTTGCAGAAACCTGTAGAGTTCCTCTTGAAGACAGGAATCTACTGGTAATTTCCCTTATATTTGAAATATAGTACAGTATTGTATATATTTATGTCAAAGATGATGCATTTACATTTTGGCTAGCTGTGTAGCTGTAGAAGGGGCCATTATGTATTAATAGTGTATTTGCATGACCATGCATAAGAACATGCATGAGCACTAGAGTTACACAACTACCAAAGTCATGTAGTTTTATTCTACACGTTTGTATGCGCTGTATCTTGAGTTTTGAGAGTTTTTTCCACTCCCGGAGCTTGACCCTGAGCCAGGCTTGTCTAGTGGTTATCAATCCACGAGCAGCAATTTTGCTAAGCATTAGTAAAATGGAAACCACATTTTCATAAATCAAGATTGTACATGTTGCACAAGAAATCCTGTATAAAGTAAGAGATTATAGCACCCCATTCATGATAACTTTTCTTAATAATTATACACAGTTTTGACAGTAAAACACCATGTGCTCATTGATCGAAGATTGTAAAAAGTTCCCCAAGAGATACTCTTATTGGGAGCATTGACATTTATCAGGTACAATCTTATCTTTATGCTTGATCACCTGCAGTCTGTACTCTGCTCATACTGACAACCCATGTAATCCAGTATATATTAAGAATTAAAATACTACATCAACTGAGCCTTTAAATGTCATAGAATTTGCAATAAAGACAATCATTACTATAAAGGGCACACACGTTTAATGTTTTTGTAAAGAAATAAGACATTGCATACAGTTCCCTACATAAGATTCCTTATAACCACAGTTGCCTACTGAAAAGATTTAAACAGTTAACATTAGTGGTGGGAGGATACCAAAACTTATGCCCATACCAGTACTCATTTTTAGACCTATAATGATTTCATTCAACTTAGGCAGTACCCACCAATCCCAATACCAGTACTAAATTTTAGGCTAGTACCGATACCCCCAAGTCAACACTGAATATTAAAATATCTAAGTTGAAGGTAACAATTCTTAGCTAATTCTTAGTCTCTCTGCAGCATCTCTCGTCTTCATCTTAAAGAATAAATGCACTTATTTTAATTACCATTATCTCAAGGACATTGGCATCTATGAATGAGTATGGAAAATCATCACATTACTCATTATTTAATTGTTTTTCTGGTTTCTACAGCATGAATACCCAATTTAACAAGACAAATATCTGGCATTGACACACATTCTTTGAAGGAAGTAAATCACTGGAGAAATCATGTGACCTAATCTTGCTACTGTGACTTCTCTCTTAACATTGTGGGTGTTTTGTCATTGAAGTGCCCCAGGTTACATGACCATGGCTTTTTAGTTCTTTGTTTAATGTAAATACACTTTAAGTGCTTTCTTCATGGATGATTGCCCCTGTGGAATGTTAAATTGATGTGTGTAGAGTACCTAGTTAGTAGGTTAGCAATGGATGGTGGTGTGTTAGATAGGTATGTCTTTGCTCTTGGGGTTTGACATGAATTTATACCATGTCAAGACTGATGTACAATATTGTTACAGTGGGACTTAAATGAGCAGGTCAGGGGACTGGGGAATTGTGTCAGTGAGCTTATTAGCTATATTTTTAAAATCTTTTAATTTCCCTACCAGAGAAAAAAATGTTAATTTACTTCCACCCATTAATTCTAAATCTATACATTAATATGGTATGTTTTTTTCCAGGCGGGCGCAATGGCTAGGGCATCAAAACTGCCCAGAGTGCAGGATGCCCATGGAGAGAGTGACCTTGGGCATGTGTGGGGAGTCTCTGGTCCAGGTAAGTTCTTAGTCTCCATTTTTATTTGAATGATACTGGATGTACTATATGTTAAATCAGTATAAAAAGGAAATAAGCATTTTTTAATTACAGAGTAGTTTATTTCTGAGTTGCCGTTGGTTTCAGTATAATGTATACACTGAAAATGCTCAGTGATGTATTGTGTCAAACTGTCCAGAAAAAAAAAAAAAAAAAAAAGGTCCCTAAACCTATGATGCATATAACCAGATGTTTCTTCATCTAGTAGAGGCTCTGCCCCAGATGTACAAAGTATGGAATTTGAAGTCTGTGTATTTTTTATGCACTACTTAGTAATTTGTAAAAAAGTATCTGCTATAACTTGTGTACAGTACTATACATGTAATATTACTTAATTTACCTAATGTGCTCTAGATAATTTTTAAATATTATACTGTCATTTTATTTAAAAACCTTGTAAATACAGCATACTGTATACTGTTGTAATTCCTTAGTGTTAAAAAAAAAAATCCTTGTGTTAGTCAGTGTTTATTTAAGGGTATTTTATTGTCCTTGGTTTTCTAACAGTCTTGACAGTCAAGAGATGGTTAGTGTGTTAAAACTAATTTAAGAAAGTGCTGTAAATTTCTTCATGGAGGACTGAAATCCTCAATTTTATGTCAAAATGAGCACAGTGATAGTAATCTCCTTTTTCAGTGGTGACTGCTAAGCAGATGAGTGGATCTGCTATGTACGAGTTGGTGAGAGTTGGTCACCAAGAACTGGTCGGGGAGATCATCAGGCTGGAGGGAGACATGGCCACTATACAGGTGTGTCATAATAATGTGCCCCAGTTGCTCATAAAGAATCATAATTCAGTTTTCTTGAGATGGGGGTCAGTGTTTTTACAGTATTCCACTGAATGACCATAAGTACTCTATGGTATTGACTCACATTTGTTTAAAAAATATAAGTTGCTTTTTTAGGATTGCAGAAATAACAGGTTCAGAGCAAGTTTTCAGTGGCAAAGTTTTGCTCTCGCTAGAGTTTCATCAGCCAATGTCATTGAATTAATAAAGCTCTATACAGAGGAAAATTTTTACTATCTAAACTTGCTCTATATAGGTTTTATTTTTCTTCATTACTATTGGCAATACACAGTTGTATCCAATTTGCTTTCACAGGTCTATGAGGAGACCTCCGGTGTAACTGTAGGCGATCCAGTGCTGAAAACTGGAAAGCCTTTGTCTGTGGAGTTAGGACCTGGTATTATGGGGAACATTTATGATGGTATCCAGCGTCCCTTGCAAGAAATTTGTGACCTCACACAGTCCATCTACATCCCAAAGGGTGTTTCTACACCTGCCCTCTCCCGCACCAAGACATGGGAGTTCATACCAGAGTGCAGTGTTAAAGTTAGTATGATCCTGTGTAAATTTAATATTCTTCTTCTACAGTGGTCCCTCAATAATCGTCCGGCCTGAAAGTCGTCCATTTCGGAAATAGTCCTGTTTTTTCATCAAAATATTGGCTCGCAAATGGTCCGGTAACTCACTAATAGTCCTTCGTCCCGGACGCGTACTCACGCTCTGAGCCGCCTCGGCCTTTCCTTCCCAGCCAGTGTGCCATTGTTTACCAGTGAGTGATGGTCCCCTCGCATGCTCCTACGAAATATTTCATAATATTCCATTGATTTTAGTGCTTGCAAGTGCTAAATAAGCTACCATGGCTCCAAATAAAGCTTCTAGTGCCAGCCCTTTGGTAAAGAATGTGAGAAACACATAATTTATGAAAAAGTTTGTAGAAAAATACAAAGATGGTGGTGGTAGAGTGGAAGCAGTTGTGATAGTGGTTGATGAACATAAGAAAGGAGGATCACTGCAGCAGGCCTGTTGGCCCATGCTCGGCAGGTCCTTTACAATTCATCCCACTAACGAAACATTTTCCCAACCCAGTCCTCAATGCTACCCAAGAAATAAGCAAAGGGCTGGTGCTAGAAGCTTTCTTTGGTGGTAGTGATGGTGGTAGAAGGTAGTAGTGATGGTGGTAGAAGGTAGCAGTGATGGTGGTAACAGTTGTAATAGTGGTAGAAGGTCGTAGTGATGGTGGTAGTGGGTTCCTTCTTTAGTGATTCAGTGATTCTACCAACTCCTCCAATGTTGTTGGAGTTATATAGGGCTACAAAAACCACCGCCGACTCAGCTGCTGCTTCACCACCATTATGGACAGCTTACGCTCAGTGGCCCTTATATACCCAACAACACAACACAACACCTCTCGTGACATACGTAATGACTTATTTTATTCATTCTAGAGTATATTCCATGTTTCTATGTTATTAATATTGTTTATTATGTGATATTAGTTGAATTGTGATAGATAAATAAGCCATAGAGTTGATATTAGTGTCATATTCTCCAACAATAAACTTGCCATCCCTCCCTCACACAAACAAATAGCCAATAAGAACATAACAATGGAAGAACACTGCAGGTCTACTGGCTCATACAAGGCAGGTCCTTATCAAAATGGCCTCCACCCAAAGCTACCCAAGAATTTACTCCCGTACCCAACGACACAAATCAAACTCAGCTCCTCCAACTCGTATATTTGTCCAATCTCTCCTTAAGGCTACCCAAGGTCCTAGCCTCGATCACCCTACTGGTAAGTGTGATGTTAAATAAGAAATTAAGAAAGTAGGAACACTGGAACAGGCCTGCTGGCCCATACTAGGCCGGTCCTTCACAAATCTAACCCACTAACAGAACATATGCTACCCAAGCAATAAGCTCAGGTGCAAGTCCGACTCAAATCCAACCCCTCTCACTCGTGTATTTATCCAACCTAAATTTGAAACTACCCAATGTTTTAGCTTCGATCACCCTACTAGACAGACCGTTCCACTCATCAAGTACCCCTATTACCAATGTTCATTTATACATTTTATTAGTGCCCTAGAGTCCTTATGGAGGGGGATTCCCCTTCCAAATAACCTCTCTTCCCTCTCTCCTCCCTGTCTTCCATTCATCAACAACAGCCTTCAATAAAGGTAACTGTCATATAGATGAATGGTTCAGAGAACCGACATGTTGATAAATTAGACACATGTGCAACTCTTGGGTATCTTTATTGAGGAAACGTTTCGCCACACAGTGGCTTCATCAGTCCATACATAGGAGAAACTTGAAGAACAGGAGGAGAATGAGGTAATCAGTCCCTCAACCTTGAGTCTATGTGGTCAGTCCATCAAGATTGATGGACTGACCACATCGACTCAAGGTTGAGGGACTGATTACCTCATTCTCCTCCTGTTCTTCAAGATTCTCCTTTGTATGGACTGATGAAGCCACTGTGTGGCGAAACGTTTCCTCAATAAAGATACCCAAGAGTTGCACATGTAACTGTCATGTTGAATGTTCATTCTTTTGTGCATGTAAATCTATCTTTTAGGTAAAAAAAAATTTTTTTGTTGATACTTCTGGGTGTCTGGAACGAATTAATTGGATTTACATTATTTCTTATGGGGAAAATTGATTCGAAAATCGTCCATTTCGATAATAGTCCCACTTCCAGGAATGGATTATGGACAATTATTGAGGGACCACTGTACTTTCTTTCAACGTACCAGCCGTATCCCACTGAGGTGGGGTGGCCCAAAAGAAAAAAACGAAAGTTACTAGCCCCTTGCTCCCGGCATTTTAGTCGCCTCTTACGACACGCATGGCTTACGGAGGAAGAATTCAATTCCACTTTACAGTCTTGTGTTGAAAAGTTTATTGATGTAATATGTATCTCCTGAATTTATGGGCCTGATAAGAATGAACTGTAATGAACTCAGGAACCAAAATGAGATATTAAATTTGTCTCTATACCTTTGATGAGTTCCACAAGTTTTTCAACACTCAGAGCCTGGCCATGGGCCAGACATTAATAACAATACCATACTCTTGCCCTTACATTAACCCGTAAACGGTCCAAACGTATATATACGTTTTTTCAACATTTGAAAGTATGTAAAAAAGTAGATCTTCTTTTTGTTTTTCTACATTTGAAAATGTGTAAAAAAACTTTGATCTACTTTTTTTTTGTTATAGTATTTGAAAATATGTAAAAAAAACTTAGATCTACTTTTGTAGCACTACACACGTGAATGTAGATCTGCTTGGACCGTTTACGGGTTAATAACTCTTACCACACACTTTGCTTCGTATACTCAACAGGCTTATTTCCCTTTAATTATTACTCTTTATTGCTTTTTACCTTATGCAAAGGAACTATGCTATCTGCCATTCATAGTTTCCTTACAAATTGGAGGCTTCACTTGTCCAATGCTATTGATGAGCAGCCCATGAACAGATTAGTTTATCCACTGGTTTACAAATGGTACCCATCTTGTTTAGTCATGGGCCACAACCCTCAAAATTGAAAACTAATTGTATATTTTCATTGAATTATATTTGTGCGGTTTTCCCATACCCTAATTTCTTTTAAGTACGTACTTTTTTTTTTTTTACACTGGCCATCTCCCACCAGGGTCGGGTGACCCAGAAACCTAATATACTGGTGTAGCTCATGATCAAAAATGTGATTAAATATTTCTATTAGATGTTATTCCTATGACAAATTCTCGTTTTGCTATTTTGAAACTTAGGGTTCCATTTACACTATTGTTGACATTCTTGCACAGGTTGGAAGTCACATCACTGGAGGTGATATTTATGGACTGGTGCACGAAAATTCTATCATTGATCATCGAATAGTACTACCTCCAAAAGCTCGAGGAACTGTTACGTACCTTGCTGCTCCTGGCAGCTACACTGTGGATGAGACAGTTTTGGAGGTAGAATTTGATGGAGAGAAGCACAAGTACGGCATGATGCAGGTATGTCTATGAAAGTTAAAGATTCTCTGAAAATTATAGGTGTAACAAAACTTGTCAGTAATTGTTAATTGAAAAAATAAACTCCATTACATACTTGAATGTACTATATACCAATACAGGGTGTAGCATAGGTTTTCAAATACCCTTTTAATTCTGGGAGGATTATCATTGCAAACCTCTTAAACTTTCTCCAGTTTCTTAATACTGTTTATTGTAAAAACTATAAAGTAAAATAAAAGGTTAATTTGTAGATGTGAATTATTGCTGGACTACAAGCTAGTCAACTCCTTACTGCTCCCAACATATTGAATTAAGTATTGTGAAATATGTGCAGCCAAATGGAAATATTTTCCGTACAGAAACTTATGCTACACTGTTGGGTATAGTAGTTCTGTACTGGAATGTCTTAGAAATAGCATCATTGCTTTTAGATAATATTAAACATTTTTAATGCCATTTATTTAAGGGACTAGTATAGGGGAATAGGTGCTTAGTAATTGCGATTGTGATGGTGAGGATCGTTTTAACACGATTGTGACAATGTTTGATTCTGTAACCAGTGGATTTTATCCATTGTTTCTGAATCGGTTGATCCAGCAAATTTTGTCTAGTGTTTCTGAAGTTTGATAAATCTAGAGTTTACAGTACTTGGGTTTGCAGTGTGCAAGGAAAAAAATATTTTGTATCCAATTTTTTTTTCTGTTTGGGTTTTTGGTCAGAGGGTGATTAATAATTATTACCAAAATAAAATTGTGAAATGTGACTTTTCCCCCACAGAAATTAGTTTTGAAAATTAAAAACTTATACTTACACTCTTTGGAAGGTGCCTTGATGGTGAAGGACACGATCATCCCTTTTCCTGGATCAGACCTGATTACCTCTTGTTCTCCAGGTGCTGTGACCCATATAGGAGTTGCACTTTCCCAGAAATAAAAATATCCGTTTACAGGTGTGGCCAGTGCGTCAACCACGCCCAGTGAGTGAGAAACTACATGCCAATCATCCCTTGCTAACAGGCCAGAGGGTTTTGGATGCTCTGTTTCCCTGTGTCCTGGGAGGAACAACAGCTATTCCTGGTGCTTTTGGTTGTGGCAAGACTTGCATCTCTCAGGCTTTGTCCAAATATTCAAACTCTGATGTTATTATTTATGTAGGATGTGGAGAACGAGGAAATGAGATGGCTGAGGTAGGTTCCATACATGTGTCTTTGTCTTGTCTAAGCAAGAGAACTGTGAACTTGCTTCTGATGAGTAAATGTAGATTAATTTTTTCTTAATGAGAGACAAACATTGACATACAGTACACTGGTTATACTTGGTTTTAATTTGGTGTGCTTGTGAAAATAACCCTTGAGAATTGTTTACAGTTAGGTTTTACTAATTGACTGAGCACTTTTTAAACAAAATATTTCATATAATACATGGTTATCACAGTAAAGTACAGTAACTTGTATCCATTTGTAGGTTAAGAGGCAGGATAGTTAATTTAATAAATATTCAACAGGTACTGCGAGATTTCCCTGAATTGGAGCTGGAGCTTCATGGCAAGAAGGACTCCATCATGAAGCGCACATCTCTCGTTGCCAACACATCAAACATGCCAGTAGCTGCACGAGAAGCTTCCATCTACACTGGAATTACTCTCTCTGAATACTTCCGTGACATGGGCCTTCACGTTTCCATGATGGCTGACTCGACTTCCCGTTGGGCTGAGGCTCTTCGTGAAATCTCGGGTCGGCTGGCCGAGATGCCTGCCGATTCTGGTTATCCTGCATACTTGGGTGCCCGTCTAGCTTCTTTCTATGAACGTGCTGGTCGAGTCAAGTGTCTTGGCAACCCTGAACGTGAAGGCTCAGTTACCATTGTGGGTGCTGTCTCGCCTCCTGGTGGCGATTTCTCTGATCCTGTTACTTCAGCCACCCTGGGTATTGTTCAAGTGTTTTGGGGTCTTGACAAGAAGTTGGCTCAGCGTAAACATTTCCCCTCAGTCAACTGGCTTCAGTCGTACTCCAAATATATGCGTGCTCTAGAAGAATATTATGATGCACACCATCCTGAATTTGTTTCATACAGGTTTGTTAATATTCTTTTTTAACACACCAGCCATCTTCCACAAAGGCAGGGTGACCCAAAAAAAAGAAGAAACATTTTTTCTTCTTTTTGCATTTTGTAACTTATACAAGAAAATGGGTTACTGGCCTCTTATCTTATTCATCTCATTTTAATTTCCTCTTATGACATGCATGACTCAGAGGAAGGATTCTTTTTCATTTCTCCATGGAAAATTTTCTTGACAAATTTTAAATTATAACCAAAATGTGCTGTTCATTTTTTTTCTTTTTTTTTTAGGACCAGAATAAAGGAAATCCTTCAGGAGGAAGATGATCTGGCTGAGATTGTGCAGTTGGTTGGTAAGGCTTCTCTCTCTGATGCTGACAAGATCACACTTGAGGTGGCCCGAATTATCAAAGATGACTTCCTCCAACAAAACTCTTACACTCCATATGATTGCTTCTGTCCATTCTACAAGACTGTGGGAATGATGAGGAACATCGTTGCATTTTATGATATGTCACGGCAAATTGTCAATCGTACAGCTCAAAGTGACAATAAGGTAAGTCTTGTTGGGTAGCTTAAAATCTGATATTGTTTACTGTGAGTAAATAAATTGTTCATTGCATTTGGCAAGAGAATATTGGGATCCCTTACTGAGGGGAACTATTTAAACCCCTAAATTAAGAGGTGGGGACTGAGTCTATTTTCAAAGTTTTTTTTTTTTTTTCTGCAGTTCCAAGGTGACCTTAATTTATTTGTGTGTATGTATATAAAATAGTAAAATGGTGATTGTACTGAGCTAGGAAATTGCTCCTAAATTATTCAATCCAAACTTTACAAAATATCTGGCTAAACAAGCGAGAACCTTCATATTTCACTATCGGTTTATTTGAAAACTCTACTAATTTGGTAGTTAAGTGAGCTACCTTTTCCTAAACCATAGTTTAAAAATTCATAAAACATTGCAACTATCAGTGCAGAGATTTTTTTTTTTTTTTTTTTAATAGTCCTCAACTTCTGGTGATACCACTGAGTAGAATGACTCGCAGAATCGTAATAACCTGATTGGAAATACACATGGATATACCTTTGAATGGGTGGGATCTGAACCCATGGTTTGTTTCACTGGGTAGGATGAATGTACTAGCATTTTAGAATCACAAAAGCTAATTTGTGACACCGCATACATACTGACAACAAAACAAATGTAGCTAAAATGTTTCAGTACCATGTAATATGTATTTTAGTTGCATCATCTGAATTTTCAAATTTTAATGGCTTAAATTTCGTCGTTAATCAGAGCTACCCCTTTCATTCCTCAGATCAATCCTGATTACCTCTCATTCCTTGGAGACTGACTCCTAATGGTTGTTCACTACCCTTTAAATATAATAGTTATAATATTTAAGATTTAATCTGTATATTTTCTATTCACAGGTAACTTGGCAAATTATTCGTGACTCAATGGGCCAGATATTGTATGAGCTATCTTCCATGAAGTTCAAAGACACACTTAAGGATGGAGAGGCCAAAGTACAGAGAGATTTTGATGAATTATATGAAAACATTCAGCAGGCTTTTAGGAATTTAGAAGATTAAATATGATGACAGGTTACATAGATGCACTTATCTTACTAATTTTACAATTCATTAATGTATTGATGCACTGTACCTGATATGTTGTTCAGCTCAAATTCACTATATCGCTGACGAGATTCACACTCGTGAACAAATAAATTTTGAATATTCAGTGCACATTATGTTGGTAAGTTGTAAGAGTAGAAGGGAAGATGTCCTCTTGGTGCATCATCCTTGGTCATTCCACTGCCCAGAAAATCGCTGGGCAGTCAGATTTTGTGCTTGCCCTTTTGTGAATCATGTGGGGCCTTGTATAGATTTTACTTAGTATTTATATAGTAGAGAGAGTAATTTTTTTGTACAGTCATACGAGATTGTTGTTAAAATAAGTTATCGAGTATAAAAACTATTCTCTCTTGATTTGTTAGCTAAGGAAGTGAGTTGACTTGCATTGGGACTGGATGTTTATTTTTTTATTTCATAAATGTATAATAGAGACTGGGCATGGGGGCATTAGTCTCCATTTCCAAAATATAGGTAGTGAGTGTGTGCAAGCGCAACTTACTATGTACTATCTGTGCTGTGTAAGAAATTTTTGCTTCTCAACTAGACATTCCAGACTCAACATTTGTGTATATTTGTGAAGTTTATTGTGAGTAAACAAATTGGAGGGGAAGTAATGGTTTGATTTAGTAAATTCCAAATATTTTCTCTAAGAGTTTACTGAAGAAATTTAAAAATTAATTACTATAGTATAGTATCTCCATTTAAGTAAGATTATACCAGCACTTACGTGGGGGTGCTACATTGTTTATATAAATATTGAGTTACTTTATCTCCATCCACAAAAAATACATTTCGAAGTTCCACTAGTAATTGTCTGCTCTGAATAATAATAATAATCGGAAGGTACAGAAGTTTCCCTGTATGCTAACTGTTTCTAAAATATCAGATGCCGTATTTGATCAAACTATTATTAGTGATGGAAAAGCACAAACACTTGTGGGAATGGATGACAATAAATATCATTCCAAGAGAAGGTCAGACCAAATTACCTGGATCAAGAGCTTCTAATCAGCATTAAGGAGCATTTTAGCACTTTTGATTATATTATTATTTAAGGAATGCTCCTCAAGGGGACATATTGGATTTTAAGAAGCCCCCATGGGCAAAATATTTAATTAAATGTTATAAGTGTTGCATTCGTCTTCACAAGGACGATTGCTGTAATATTAAAAAATAAGTTCACATTACAACTTTAGTTTGATAGAGGTGAGTCCATACTAAAACTATCTGAAGGGCAGTAACCAAAAAGATGAAACGGTATATAATGGGGTCCATGGTTTACACTATTAGTGTTTTGCACTGTCTGCCAAGCCTCTTGCATTTGTAAATGTAATTTTGGCATGCAAATCTGGTTTGAATCCCAAACTCTTTTAGGTGCAATAATTATAATCTTATGCACTAAACCCACCAGGTCATACAGTGTAGCTTTTCAGGTACAAGTTATAATTTACTTCAATCACTTGTTCCAAGGATTACCATTAAACGGTCATGTTCTTGGTAATTTGGGTGCTTGACAGTTTGTGCAGGCAGTGAAAATTTGTGCTAAAGGAGGAGTAGAAATAATGTTGAAGGATAAGCTATGGCAGGAAAAGAGGGACTATAAATGTATTAATTCAAGGATTATGTGGAGCAAAATAAAGATTGGATGTGAAAAGTGGGTTATAATAAGTGTGTATGCACCTGGAGAAGAGAAGTGTAGAGGAGAGAGAGAGAGATTTTGGGAAATGTTGAGTGAATGCGTGGGGAGTTTTGAATCAAGTGTGAGAGTAATGGTGGTTGGGGATTTTAATGCTAAAGTGGGTAAAAATGTTATGGAGGAAGTAGTAGGTAAATTTGGGGTGCCAGGGGTAAATGTAAATGGGGAGCCTTTAATTGAGCTATGTGTAGAAAGAGATTTGGTAATAAGTAATACATATTTTATGAAAAAGGATAAATAAATATACAAGGTAAATTGTAGCACGTAATGAAAGTAGTTTGTTAGGTTATGTATTGGTGGATAAAAGGTTGATGGGTAGGCTCCAGGATGTACATGTTTATAGAGGGGCAACTGATATATCGGATCATTATTTAGTTGTAGCTACAGTTAGAGTAAGAGGTAGATGGGAAAAGAGGAAGGTGGCAACAACAAGTAAGAGGGAGGTGAAAGTGTATAAACTAAGGGAGGAGGAAGTTCGGGTGAGATATAACCGACTATTGGCAGAAAGGTGGGCTAGTGCAAAGATGAATAGTGGGGGGGTTGAAGAGGGTTGGAATAGTTTTAAAAATGCAGTATTAGAATGTGGGGCAGAAGTTTGTGGTTATAGGAGGGTGGGTGCAGGAGGAAAGAGGAGTGATTGGTGGAATGAAGTAAAGGGTGTGATAAAAGAGAAAAAGGTAGCTTTAGAGGTTTTTACCAAAGCAGAAGTGTTATATGAAGAGCAGAGTATTTGGAGAGTAAAGAAAGGTGAAGAGAGTGGTGAGAGAGTGCAAAAGGAGAGCAGATGATAGAGTGGTAGAGGCACTGTCAAGAACTTTTAATGAAAATAAGAAAAAAATTTGGGAGTGAGTTAAACAAGTTAAGAAAGCCTAGGGAAAGTATGGATTTGTCCGTTAAAAACAGAGTAGGGGAGTTAGTAGATGGGGAGAGGGAGGTATTAGGTAGATGGCGAGAATATTTTGAGGAACTTTTAAATGTTGAGGAAGAAAGGGGGCGGTAATTTCATGCACTGGCCAGGGAGGTATACCATCTTTTAGGAGTGAAGAGCAGAATGTAAGTGTGGTGGAGGTACGTGAGGCATTACGTAGAATGAAAGGGGGTAAAGCAGCTGGAACTGATGGGATCATGACAGAAATGTTAAAAGCAGGGGGGGATATAGTGTTGGAGTGGTTGGTACTTTTGTTTAATAAATGTATGAAAGAGGGGAAGGTACCTAGGGATTGGCGGAGAGCATGTATAGTCCCTTTATATAAAGGGAAAGGGGACAAAAGAGATTGTAAAAATTATAGAGGAATAAGTTTACTGAGTATACCAGGAAAAGTATACAGTAGAGTTATAATTGAAAGAATTAGAGGTAAGACAGAATGTAGAATTGCGGATGAGCAAGGAGGCTTCAGAGTGGGTAGGGGATGTGTAGATCAAGTGTTTACATTGAAGCATATATGTGAACAGTATTTAGATAAAGGTAGGGAAATTTTTATTGCATTTATGGATTTAGAAAAGGCATATGATAGAGTGGATAGAGGAGCAATGTGGCAGATGTTGCAAGTTTATGGAATAGGTGGTAAGTTACTAAATGCTGTAAAGAGCTTTTATGAGGATAGTGAGGCTCAGGTTAGGGTGTGTAGAAGAGAGGGAGAATATTTCCCGGTAAAAGTAGGTCTTAGACAGGATGTGTAATGTCACCATGGTTGTTTAATATATTTATAGATGGGGTTGTAAAGAAGTAAATGCTAGGGTGTTCAGGAGAGGGTGGGATTAAATTATGGGGAATCAAATTCAAAATGGGAATTGACACAGTTACTTCTTGCTGATGATACTGTGCTTATGGAGATTCTAAAGAAAAATTGCAAAGGTTAGTGGATGAGTTTGGGAGTGTGTGTAAAGGTAGAAAGTTGAAAGTGAACATAGAATAGAGTAAGGTGATGAGGTATCAAATAATTTAGATAAGAAAAACTGGATATCAAATTGGGGAGGAGTATGGAAGAAGTGAATGTTTTCAGATACTTGGGAGTTGACGTGTCGGCGGATGGATTTATGAAGGATGAGGTTAATCATAGAATTGATGAGGGAAAAAAAGGTGAGTGGTGCGTTGAGGTATATGTGGAGTCAAAAAACGTTATCTATGGAGGCAAAGAAGGGAATGTATGAAAGTATAGTAGTACCAACACTCTTATATGGATGTGAAGCTTGGGTGGTAAATGCAGCAGCGAGGAGACGGTTGGAGGCAGTGGAGATGTCCTGTCTAAGGGCAATGTTGTGGTGTAAATATTATGCAGAAAAATTTGGAGTGTGGGAATTAGGAGAAGGTGTGTGAGTTAATAAAAGCATTAGTCAGAGGGCAGAAGAGGGGTTGTTGAGGGTGGTTTGGTCATTTAGAGAGAATGGATCAAAGTAGAATGACATGGAAAGCATATAAATCTATAGGGGAAGGAAATGTAGGGGTAGGGGTCGTCCTCGAAAGGGTTGGAAAGAGGGGGTAAAGGAGGTTTTTTTGGGCGAGGGGCTTGGGGCTTCCAGCAAGCGTGCATGGAGCGTGTTAGATAGGAGTTTAATGGAGACGAATTTATACTTGGGGCCCGGGCGATCTGTTGGAGTGTGAGCAGGGGTTATATTTAGTGAAGGGATTCAGGGAAAACCGGTTATTTTCTTATGTCGGACTCGAGTCTGGAAATGGGAAGTACAATGCCTGGGACTTTAAAGGAGGAGTTTGGGATCATATGGCAGTTATGGAGGGATATGTTGTGTATCTTTATACTATATGCTTTAAATGTTGTATTCTGTAGACCTCTGCAAAAAGTCTTAGTTATAATGTTTGAGTGTGGTGGAAAGTGTTGAATGATGCTAAAGTATTTCTCTTTTTGGGGATTTTCTTTTCATTTTTTGTTGGTCCACCCTGCCTCGGTGGGGACGACCACTTGTTGGGATGAAAAAATAATTCATTTCCATCACACTAAATGTTATCACCTGCGATGGGTAGTTAGGCGTACAGTGTCTAGTGTTGACAGATGTGCAGAATGTGGTTCACTTGCTGACAAATGATGGTGGGTGGAGTGACTGTCAATCTTGTCGTAAGGTAATGAATTTCAGTTACTTTTTACATTTATAACCTCAACCTACTAGTTGACAGCCCAAATCCTTAATTTTCTCCCTCCTGGAAAGCACATGCCTTCAAGTCATTAGTTTTATCGTTCATTTTAAGACATTAGGAAATCTAAAAAAGATATACTCTGACCCACGGGCAAGGTGGGAGGATGGTAATAAGTTTTGAATGGCAATCAGTTTTGATGCAAAGTGTCTCCTCTTCCTTGTAAAGAGCCCTTTGCCAAGATCAAAGCACCCCCTCTAGAAATAAATAACAAAAAGGCACAATACCGTGACTGGAACGATACACAAATAACCCGCACATAAAAGAGAGAAGCTTACGACGACGTTTCGGTCCGACTTGGACCAGTGTGACTTTGTCAATGGTCCAAGTCGGACCGAAACGTCGCCGTAAGCTTCTCTCTTTTATGTGCGGGTTATTTGTGTAACCCCCTCTAGAATTAGTATGTTGAGGAGAAAGTTAAACTCATAAGGGTCATACATACAATGCCTAGGGAAGGGGAGGCACTCAAGTTCAATCCTCAGCTAGAAGAAATCTTACAGGGTATCCCCTCTTGAAGGGTGAGACACAAGACAGGAAAATGGAATGAGAATGTCGTTCCAGTGTGTGCACTCCTACAGTCTTCGTCACCATGATGATGAAGGCAAGAATACAGTGAGCTGCAAATTCTTATTTTTACTGTACTCATATTTCATTCCTGAGCCAAGAAAATGGTAACAAGTCAATGGGCATTCATTATGAAATTAACTTGTGCCTTCAGCATTCTAAGGAGAGGGACATTGGACATGAGTCATCCCATACTCACTAAAAACAACATAGCCTCTCTCTACAAAGATGGCAGTAAAGCAATTGCAAAGAGCTACAGATCAATAGCACTAACATCCCATATTGTAAATATCTTTGAAAGGGTTCTAAGAAGCAAGATCACCAACCACCTAGATACCCACCAATTACACAACCCAGGGTAACACAGGTTTAAAGCGGGTCGCTACTGCACCACTATGATAAGGTCCTGGATGCTATAGAGGATAAACAAAATGCGGATGTAGTATACACAGACTTTGCAAAAGCCTTCGAAAAGTGTGACCATGGTGTAATAGTGCACAAAATGCGCAATAAAGGAATAACAGAGAAGTTAGCAGATGGATCTATAACTTCCTGACAAACAGAACACAGAGTAATAATAAAGTCCGAGGCAGCTACAGTGAAAAGCTCTGTTCCACAAGGCACAGTACTCACTCCCATCCTATTCCTCATTCTCATATCTGACAGATGTAAGCCATAGCTCCGTGTCTTCCTTTGCTGATGACACCCTAATTGCCATGACAGTGTCCTCCATTGAAGACACTGCAAGACTCCAAGCGGACATCACTCAAATCTTCAAATGGGCCACTCAAAACAATCTGAAGTTCAATGAAGAGAAATTTCAACTACCCAGACATAGAAAACCTGAGGAAATTAAAACTATCAGGGTATACAACAAATTCTAACCATACAATAGAGCAAAAAAGTAATGTGAAGGACCTGGGAGTGATAATGTCAGAGGATCTTTCCTTCAAAGACCACAACAATGTATCTACTACATCTGCTAGGAAAATGATAAGAGGGATAATTAGAACCTTCAAAATTACTGATGCTAAGCCCATGATGAGTCTCTTCAAATCGCTTGCTCTCTGGAATACTGCTTTGCAATAACTGCCCCCCTTCAAGGCAGGCAAAATTGCTGACCTGGATAGCATGCAGTGAGCTTTCACAGCACACAAGCATGATAAGGCACCTAAAGTACTCCCTGGAATGCAGGCGAGAGCGCTAACATGATAATATACACTTGGAAAATCCTAGAGGGATTAGTACCAAACTTGCACACGAAAATCACTATGAAAGCAAAAGACTCGGCAGGAGATGCAACATTTCCCCCAATGAAAAGTATGGGGTGCCACGAGTACAGAGAGACACACAATAAGTGTCAGGGGCCCAAGACTGTTCAACTGCCTCCCAGCAAACATAAGGGGGATTACCAATAGACCCCTGGCTGTCTTCAAGAAGGCACAGGACAGGCACCTAAAGTCAGTACCTGACCAGCCGGGCTGTGGTTCGTACGTCAGTTTGCGTGCGGCCAGCAGCAACAGCCTGGTTGATCAGACCATGATCCACCACGAGGCCTGGTCTCAGACCAAGCTGCAGGGTATTGACCCCTGAAACCCTCTCCAGGTATACTTGAATATTTCTAAATTTGTGACTCACTACATAGAGAAAGCAGCACTAAACCTACATAATACACACATCGGCTTGGGGAGCGGGAGGAAATGAGTTAAATAATTCAAAGGAGAAGTCAGGTCAAATTTCCTATATCAAAAACTCTCAATTGCATCATGGAATCTCCAAGGGGTTACTGCATGCAGAGAATTTAAGAGATAATTGAAACAATATCTGGATGAGTGAGATGAATGTGTTGAATGATGAACGTATTTTTGGGGATTTTCTTTCTTTCTGGGTCACCCTGCCTCGGTAGGAGACGTCCAACTTGTTGAAAAAAAAAAAAAATTGAAACAAGTATATACACACCTTTTCTGACAAAATATACAGTTCACTCGTGAAGTAATTTACGTTGGCCAGTTTGTATGAAACAAGTTATACACTTGCTGGAATAAATGTACATTTTTAAGTCTTACTAACTATGGCCTTATTTAAAGGGTAATAATAGCTAGCAAAAAATGTTTAATGTATTTCTTATAACTTCCTGGTAATGTACACGAAGCTTGGCAATGCTAGAACAACTTACTCTTATTGCCAAATAAATATAACTATGTACACTGGTTTGTCTGCCAAAAGGGAGCTCTCCCTCTTCCTGCAAGTCACCGAGTTTTCTTCTATAAATTCCTACATTGTAGAAATATACCCTTAAAAATCATGAAATATTACTAAATGCTTTGTCTTCTATTGTTTGATAGCAACCATATGACCTTGTCTCAACTGGTGACAATCAACTTACCATTTCCCAAGGATGGGCACAGAATCTTAACAAGAGAAATTGAATGTTTAAATTCGTTAAAACTATTCCAATCCAGTCATGGGAATTGGCAGACAACTGTCAAATTATTAATATGGCAGTATTTATTATTACAGTGAATGACAATCTCTCAAGGGTATAATACAACTTGTTACTTGGAGGAAGGTTTGAAAGCAAATTTCCTACTCTTAATTACTATCCACTTGTGCCTCTTTATGTAATATGATATAGCAATGAGTAAAGGAAAGATCATTAGGGCCTTCAAGGCCATTTTTTTGCGTTGATCATGCTCAGGTTCTGAGGCCCATCGAAGGAAGGTCGACACATCTTTGGCCATTTGCGAAGCCGTAGCTGGAGTCCCATCACTGTATTCCATCACCTGTCAGGTACGTGTATAAACAATTACAAATGTCAAAAATAAAATGTTCTCTCTTCTCACTCACACTCACACACATACAGGATCCATACATAGCTTTAAGCAGAGGTATGATAAAGCTCACGGTTCAGGGAGAGTGACCTAGTAGCGACCAGTGAAGAGGCGGGGCCAGGAGCTTGGACTCGACCCCTGCAACCTCAACTAGGTGAGTACAGAGAGGAGAAATAGCTCCATTACTGAGATGAAGAGCCCTAAAGGAAAGTCTTCTTTCAGTGGCTGATGGGTCCTTCTTCCCTATGTTGCAAGAGTTATAATGCAAGTCATGAGTTGCTATACATGTACCAAACTTAGACTAGGTAGCACAGGCTCTTCCTCTCATGGCAAAGATCCAGAATAGACAAAAAGCTTGAGGGGTGTTCCAAATGCCCTAATGCAATGCCAAATCCTAGGCGTCTGAGAGTGAGCACGTGCGAGGAGGGGGCGGGGGGGGGGGGGGGGAGAGAAAACTGAGGATGATCCTGCAGCCTAATAAGACCTTATCCCTAAGATTCTGGAAATGGGTGAGGCTAGGTATTATACTGAATCATACTTGAGAGCACACTACCACATACAAAGATCACTTATCTACCCAAGTCCACCTGTCAAGAACAGGATGAATTAACTGTATAAAGAAGGCCAAGTTGTGCTGATAGTTAAGCCCATTTCATAATTATGAGGTTGTCTAGTAGGATTTATTACTAATAACAGTGTCAACACAAGATCTTAGTAGGTGGAGGAATTTCTGATTATTGAAAAAAGTATTCTGTAACACTTAAGGCTGTAATACGAGTGAGCAGAATGCAATAGGAAAGGTGTCGGGGTGAAAGCAATATACCATAATGCAGGAAAAAACCTTTTTGGGCTTTCAAAACATACACCTGTATCATACTTCGGCAAAACTTTCCAATCCTGTCAAACAAAATGATTAAGTTACAATATCATGGCTGGAACATTTCACAAATAACCCACACTTTTAAAGGCAAATTTCCAGTGAACTGAAATGTCATCTAAAGTTGCCTCTCTGGAGTGACTTATTTGTGAAACACAACTTTAGTAAACTCTTTAAATTCTAATATTAATTAACAGATCACCTCTTTCCCTGTTACATTTACCAACTAAATGAAGCCTTGGTACTTCATTACCTAAATTATTAAGAATATTCTTGATGAATATTCTTGATTATCAGGTTTGATTCAAAGGGGAGAGTAGCTTTTGTTCCTTCTAGGCTCTGAGCAAAATCAAGTACAAGAGTGAGCAACTGAACTAGAGGATCAGCAATGCTTTTATAAAAAAAATATAGGCTGGGTTCTATTAAGTAAACAGGAATGAGCAATATACAGTGGACCCCCAGCATTCGATATTAATCCGTTCCTGAGAGCTCATCGAATACCGAAAATATTGAAAAGCGAATAAATTTTCCTCCTAAGGAATAATGGAAATCAAATTAATCCGTGCAAGACACCCAAAAGTATGAAAAAAAATATTTTACCACATGAAATATTAAGCTTAATGCAATAGAATAATTACAAAAACAATAGAATAAGTGACACTTACCTTGAATGAAGATCTGGTGATGATTGATGGGATGGGAGAGGAGTGTGTGGATGGTGTTAGTGTTTAGAAGGGGAATCCCCTTTCATTAGGACTTGAGGTAGCAAGTCCTTTTCCGGGGTTACTTCCCTTCTTTTAATGCCACTAGGACCAGCTTGAGAGTCACTGGACCTCTGTCGCACAACAAATCTGTCCATAGAGCTCTGTACCTCCCGTTATTTTACGATTTGTCTAAAATGGGCCACAACATTGTCTTTGTAATAGTCACCAGCACGGCTTTCAATAGCTGTGTTAGGGTGATTTTCATCGATAAAGGTTTGCAGTTCAATCCACTGTGCACACATTTCCTTAATTTTTGAAGTAGGCACAATGGATTCCACAACTGGCATAGGCTTCTCAGGGTTAACCCCAAACCCTTCAAAATCTCTTAATTTCCATACTAATTCTCACCCTTTTTACCACAGGGTTGGCACTAGAAGCTTTCTTGGGGCCCATGGTGACTTATTTTGCAGAAACAAGCACCAAAAACAGTGATAATATGGAATGTACCGAATGTATCCTTAGATGCGCGCACACCGGCTGGCTTGTAAACACTGACACACACGGGGCAGTTCAGGCCACATGTGGACACGTCTCGTACGAATTGCATGAATACGGGTTTTCAATCGGATACCGAGGCGAAATTTTTGCATTAAAATGCATCGAATACCGAATTTATCGAATACCAGGGGTCCAGTGTACCTCCTTGTAAGGCAGTGTATTTGTCTGTTTTACTATACTTTCTGAAGTATAGCCTTGGGTGAAACATTGTATTGAAGAAGATTATCTGCTACCAGTGTTTTTATCTCAGCTTGTTTGCTTGTCCTACTGTCTACCAGGTAGACTACTGTAAATAACACAGATGTGTTATACCATCTCCAATCTTAAAATAATAACATCTCTCTCACCTCATTGTAAAGGGCTTGGGCCATACCAATAGCCCCACCGGGGAAGTAAGGGTTGTAGTAGAGACCTTCACGTAATTGTACACCAGCAGGAGGGTCACAGTACCCAGTCAACAAAGAGAAAATGTAATTCTGAAATAAAAATAAGAACATAAGGTGATTTTTTTCCAATTTCCTCAATCATGTGTAATGTGTAATGTACTTCAGTTTCTAAAGACTACAAATTACATAAAATGCAAAATTTTTTGTTCAAGGCTGGTTAACTGCTATGTTAACAATCAAGTTACCATTGGAGTTTGGGTTAATTTTTCTATGTAGATTAGTGATTTGTCTTTCTTAAATAATGAACTATATACAATTTCATTTTATCTCAAGAGAAACAAGTCTTCAAAATTCTGAAAAAAAAATTATGTCAATAACCTATGTGCATGATGAACAAGACACTTGTGCAACATTTTGGTATCTTTATTCTGGAAACGTTTCACCACAGTGGCTTCTTCGCTAGTGGAAGTAGGTCATGTCTATAGGCACGACCTATATAGCCCTTGTGGCTTAGTGCTTCTTTTTGATTATAATAATAATATAGGCACGACCTACTTCCACTCATGGTTATGTCCACTGGTGACTGCCTACCACTGCTCAACCTCCTCCATCTACTCAAATATGCTGCTCTTTTGTCAAGACTGATGGACTGAACACATCAACTTCAGGCTGAGGGACTGATTACCCCCAACTACTACTCATCTTCCACTTTTCTCTGCATAGGACTGAAGAAGCCACTGTGTGGGAAAACGTTTCCAGAATAAAGATACCCAAATGTTGCACTAGTGTCTCATTTATCAACTTGTCAGTTTTTGTGAACCCTTTATTCACAGCCTATGTGCATTTTATTCAACAACTCGTACAGACTAAACCATGACGGATTTCCCATGGTAAACTGTCAAGAACTTGAAGAGAAGACAAATAATAAAATGGCACAATACCATTACTGGAACAATACACAAATAACCTGCACATAGGACAGAGGAGCTAATGACAACGTTTCGGTCCTACTTGGACCATTTACATAGTCACACTAACAGAAAGTAGAGAAGGAGGGAGTTTATGTAGGCCAGCAGACAGGGACAGGACAAGAGAGGTAATAGAGGAAAATGATAAGTAGTGTTAGAGGTAGTAGTAGTAGTACTGGAGTCAGTTAAAGACTAAGAAAGAGGAACACTGGCCATTCTCTTTCTGACAGACTCAGGGAGCACAAAAGTAGTGTCAGGCTTGCCAACACCAACAATGCTCTTTTCTGTCATGTCTAGAGATCACAGTCATCCTACTGACTGGTCTTCTGCTAAATCTGTCTACCCTACGTTTAACTTTCACAGTCGCCGTCTGGTTGAATCCTCCCTTATACAAAACTTTCCCTGTATGAATCTTAGTCCTGGCTTTGTCTCTGTAGATGTCTTCTCCCATACAATGTAAAATGCTCCAAACCTCAGAACACCGTGACTTAACCTGATTCTTGATTCTCCCCTTCTCTCTCTTCTTTCCTCTTTCTCCTTTGGGTTTTTTTTCTTCTGCCTTGAGTATTGGGTCCTTTATTATTTTTCCCTCCTCTGTGTTCTTGTTCCTACCTTTCGTGGGCTCCTAGCTCCCTTGCAGTGCTCCTCTTTCTTAGTCTAACTGACTCTGCTACTCCTACCTCTACCACTACTTCTCATCTTCCTCTACTACCTCTCTTGTCCCCTCCCTGTCTGCTGGCTTATATACACTCCCACTCCTTTCTGTTAGTGTGACTTTGTAAATGGTCCAAGTCGGACTGAAACGTCGTCTTAAGCTCCTCTCCTATGTGCAGGTTATTTGTGTATTGAAGAGAAGACATCACATAACAAGCATTCGTGGGGGATGCCAAAAGCTTGTTATACAATATGTCTTCACAATAATGGTACTGCTCAATATTCACTTAATGGCCCATGCAAAAAAGTATGTTATAGTACCCATAATTTATCACTGATGCTTAATGTAAATGCCCAGCTTTTACATTACGAAGGATAACTGACCTATAAAATGTACCATAGTAAATACAAAACTCACCATCGTGTTCACAAATTAATGTCAGACAAAAAGGGGTTAAACTGAATCATGAAACTGTACTGACACGATTGCAAACAAACCACACCACAGGCGGGGATTGAACTCGTGGCAAGTAAGCCCGGAATTTTATAACTAGCCATGAGTTCAAAACCTCCATGGTATGGTTTGGCAAGATGAAATTTTTATCAAATTATTATGAAACAGACAAATATAACTGACAATTTAAAGTTTTTTGTTCAGTGCAACTATTATCACATTTCCAATAAAGGAACAGTGTGTAACCCATTTAGAAGACTGCAACACTAACGCAGGTGAATGCAAAAGTCACAATACTGTCAAGAAAAATCTTTAACCAACAATCATTTAGGAACAAAAATATAAAAAGACATTTAAGCCAGAAATGTCTTCCAGAGTGTCCTCCCCAAATTGAATTGGCTGTGACCGGGCAAGTAATACATACCTCTCCTCCATGTCGGGCTGCTGTTATGTAAGAAAAATCTGGAGGAAGGGCACCATTGTTGGCAGCACGAGCAGCTTCATCGTTAGGATAGGGATTTGGGAAATAGTCAGACAATTTGCCTGGCCTCTGAAACATGTGACCCTCTTCATTAGGTCCATCGGTTATCTGCAAATAAAATATTACAACGTTAAACTAGGTAATTTTACCATTATTACCAACCCAAGAAAATATTAGGTAAATGGACACAAATGCAACTAATTTGACATTTTATTGTGGCAACATTTCACTCTCCGTAATGGCCATAATGTCAAGCCATAATGGCTTGATAAAGTTCCTGGAGAACAAAGCTTTGCTACAATAAAAAAATAGTGAAGCAAAAACATTGGGTAGACACAAGCCGGGGTAGTCCAGTATTACCCTGCATTTTAAAATAGATTAGCTAGTGTGCTTTTTTCACTTCTCATGATCATGAAATTTCTAGGATTCTTGCTACTTTCTATTACCTTTAACAGATTCCTGTATTTCCTATGTTTTACAGGATTCCTGGTTTTCCCTTTATTTTCTTACTAGCTTCCTGTTCTGTTTATTTTTCACTTATCCTGATTTCCCATGGAAGTTTACAGAATTCCCTTTCCTAGCTATGTTTGTAAGAGGCTCCTAATTTGCCAGATACTAGTAATTCCCTGATTTTCCCTATATATTTACTTGAAAGGAACGTTTTCCTTTTTTTTTAGGCCACTTCCTTGGATTTTCCCTAATTTTAAAAAAGGATACTAGACTTTCACTAGTATTTTTCAAAGCTTTTCACTAGATTTTCCTATTTTTTACTAGGATTCCTGATTTTCCCTATTATTTTTACTATTCCTTGATAATGTGACAAACCACTGGGAATTTCACTTTTTTTCAGAGGTTGTTTTTCCATATTGTGATATCTCCTGTTTACTGTGATCTTATTGTAACAATATACTGCATAATTATAATGATTATGCTAAATACTTCCTAAACGTAAGACAGACGTAACTTAAACATACCTGTACACTCTCAGCTTCTTCCTTGGCTTCTGCTTCAGTGTGGGACACTCCAATCAGGTTACGGAAAGCAACGTACTTCAAGGAATGGCATGCAGCGCACACATTCTTGTACACCTGAAAGCATGTGAATAATGTAAAATTCATTATTTTACAAAGACAAACTGTGAACACTGACAAAGGGTGAAGCATAAAAATGCAGTTTTCATTTGCTTGATTAACTACTGCTCAGGAACACCTTCCATATTAATTTTTAACCAAGTTGGCAAACTTAAATTGTAATATACATTCTTCTTTATCTTTCAACAAACCAGCCGTATCCCACCGAGGCAGGGTGGCCCAAAAAGAAAAACATAAGTTTCTCTTTTCAAATTTAGCAATATATACAGGAGAAGAGGTTACTAGCCCCTTGCTCCTGGCATTTTAGTTGCCTCTTACAACACACATGGCTTACGGAGGAAGAATTCTGTTCCACTTCCCCATGAAGATAAGAGGAAATAAACAAGAACAAGAACTAGAAAGAAAATAGAAAAAAACCCAGAGGGGTTTGTATATATGTATGCTTGTACATGTACGTATAGTGTGACCTAAGTGTGAGTAGAAGTAGCAAGATGTACCTGAAATCTGTAATATATATATATACAGGGAAAATGCTTGTAACAGATAGGTGAACTGTATATATAAATCTATATGTACTCCTGTTAACCCTTTTGGGGCCTAGTTCCTAGGCTTTTTGTGTCCATATGCTCTCATGCTACCATCCACAGGATGGATATGGGGTAAACAATAAACTAGCCTTAGCATGCGTGCCAAACCTGGCATGCCAACAACTCTTTCCGGCATGCTAACCTCTGGACTCATCTCAAAAAAAAAAAAAAAAAAAAAAACATTTATCATGTATCCATTCCAAGAAAAGCAGGGAAACAGTCCCCTATGTTCCCAAAGATTTTGTATCAAAGATATGGCCAACTTTGGCACACACATTTACAAAGGTTGCCCATCCCTGCCCTATGAAATAAATAAATTACAATAGTATATGTGTATATGAAAACCTGTTCCATGGCAGTATTCGCCTAGTTTAAATTTTACACGATAAATTAAGCTTAAGAGTTCCAAGACAAAAATAAAAAAAAAAAACTTCGGGTTTAATATTCTTTCACAAAATAATAGCCGAGCAGTGGTTAGTAAAAACACACAAATTTATGATTCAATGTCATTATTTCGGTCATGGAGAAGAGAGGAACCCATAAGGAAAATGCAGTACCTGGGAAATGGGGTAAGTGGAGATAACCAATTTTTTTTTTTAAGAAAACTTGATACATTAGCAGTGTGCTGCTACCCTATTCTAATGCATATACTAATTACAGTAGGTAGTAGGTTGGTAGACAGCAACCACCCAGGGAAGTACTACCGTCCTGCCAGATGACTGTGAAACAGAAACCTCTAACTGTTTTGCATGATGGTAAGATTGCTGGTTTCTTTTTCTGTCTCATAAACATGCTAGATAACAGGGATATCTTGCTACTCCTACTTACACTTTGGTCACACTTCACAGACACGTACATGCATATATATATACATACATCTAGGTTTCTCTCCTTTTTCTAAATAGCTCTTGTTCCTCTTTATTTCTTCTATTGTCCATGGGGAAGTGGAAAAGAATCTTTCCTCCGTAAGCCATGCGTGTCGTATGAGGCGACTAAAATGCCGGGAGCAATGGGCTAGTAACCCCTTCTCCTGTAGACATTTACTAAAAAAGAGAAGAAGAAAAACTTTATAAAACTGGGATGCTTAAATGTGCGTGGATGTAGTGCGGATGACAAGAAACAGATGATTGCTGTTGTTATGAATGAAAAGAAGTTGGATGTCCTGGCCCTAAGCGAAACAAAGCTGAAGGGGGTAGGAGAGTTTCAGTGGGGGGAAATAAATGGGATTAAATCTGGAGTATCAGAGAGTTAGAGCAAAGGAAGGGGTAGCAGTAATGTTAAATGATCAGTTATGGAAGGAGAAAAGAGAATATGAATGTGTAAATTCAAGAATTATGTGGATTAAAGTAAAGGTTGGATGCGAGAAGTGGGTCATAATAAGGGTGTATGCACCTGGAGAAGAGAGGAATGCAGAGGAGAGAGAGAGATTTTGGGAGAAGTAAATGTATAGGAGCCTTTGAACCAAGTGAGAGAGTAATTGTGGTAGGGGACCTGAATGCTAAAGTAGGAGAAACTTTTAGAGAGGGTGTGGTAGGTAAGTTTGGGGTGCCAGGTGTAAATGATAATGGGAGCCCTTTGATTGAACTTTGTATAGAAAGGGGTTTAGTTATAGGTAATACATATTTTAAGAAAAAGAGGATAAATAAGTATACAAGATATGATGTAGGGCGAAATGACAGTAGTTTGTTGGATTATGTATTGGTAGATAAAAGACTGTTGAGTAGACTTCAGGATGTACATGTTTATAGAGGGGCCACAGATATATCAGATCACTTTCTAGTTGTAGCTACACTGAGAGTAAAAGGTAGATGGGATACAAGAGAATAGAAGCATCAGGGAAGAGAGAGTGAAGGTTTATAAACTAAAAGAGGAGGCAGTTAGGGTAAGATATAAACAGCTATTGGAGGATAGATGGGCTAATGAGAGCATAGGCAATGGGGTCGAAGAGGTATGGGGTAGGTTTAAAAAATGTAGTGTTAGAGTGTTCAGCAGAAGTTTGTGGTTACAGAAAGTGGGTGCAGGAGGGAAGAGGAGCGATTGGTGGAATGATGATGTAAAGAGAGTAGTAAGGGAGAAAAAGTTAGCATATGAGAAGTTTTACAAAGTAGAAGTGATGCAAGGAGGGAAGAGTATATGGAGAAAAAGAGAGGGTTAAGAGAGTGGTGAAGCAATGTAAAAAGAGAGCAAATGAGAGAGTGGGTGAGATGTTATCAACAAATTTTGTTGAAAATAAGAAAAAGTTTTGGAGTGAGATTAACAAGTTAAGGAAGCCTAGAGAAAAAATGGATTTGTCAGTTAAAAATAGGAGAGGAGTGTTATTAAATGGAGAGTTAGAGGTATTGGGAAGATGGAGGGAATATTTTGAGGAATTGTTAAATGTTGATGAAGATAGGGAAGCTGTGATTACGTGTATGGGGCAAGGAGGAATAACATCTTGTAGGAGTGAGGAAGAGCCAGTTGTGAGTGTGGGGGAAGTTCGTGAGGCAGTAGGTAAAATGAAAGGGGTAAGGCAGCTGGGATTGATGGGATAAAGATAGAAATGTTTAAAAGCAGGTGGAGATATAGTTTTGGAGTGGTTGGTGCAATTATTTAATAAATGTATGGAAGAGGGTAAGGTACCTAGGGATTGGCAGAGAGCATGCATAGTTCCTTTGTATAAAGGCAAAGGGGATAAAAGAGAGTGCAAAAATTATAGGGGGATAAGTCTGTTGAGTATACCTGGTAAAGTGTATGGTAGAGTTATAATTGAAAGAATTAAGAGTAAGACGGAGAATAGGATAGCAGATGAACAAGGAGGCTTTAGGAAAGGTAGGGGGTGTGTGGTCCAGGTGTTTACAGTGAAACATATAAGTGAACAGTATTTAGATAAGGCTAAAGAGGTCTTTGTGGCATTTATGGATTTGGAAAAGGCGTATGACAGGGTGGATAGGGGGGCAATGTGGCAGATGTTGCAAGTGTATGGTGTAGGAGGTAGGTTACTGAAAGCAGTGAAGAGTTTTTACGAGGATAGTGAGGCTCAAGTTAGAGTATGTAGGAAAGAGGGAAATTTTTTCCCAGTAAAAGTAGGCCTTAGACAAGGATGTGTGATGTCACCGTGGTTGTTTAATATATTTATAGATGGGGTTGTAAGAGAAGTAAATGCGAGGGTCTTGGCAAGAGGCTGGAGTTAAAAGATAAAGAATCTCACACAAAGTGGGAGTTGTCACAGCTGCTCTTTGCTGATGACACTGTGCTCTTGGGAGATTCTGAAGAGAAGTTGCAGAGATTGGTGGATGAATTTGGTAGGTGTGCAAAAGAAGAAAATTAAAGGTGAATACAGGAAAGAGTAAGGTTATGAGATAACAAAAAGATTAGGTGATGAAAGATTGGATATCAGATTGGAGGAGATAGTATGGAGGAGGTGAACGTATTCAGATATTTGGGAGTGGACGTGTCAGCGGATGGGTCTATGAAAGATGAGGTGAATCATAGAATTGATGAGGGAAAAAGAGTGGTGCACTTAGGATTCTGTGGAGACAAAGAACTTTGTCCTTGGAGGCAAAGAGGGGAATGTATGAGAGTATAGTTTTACCAACGCTCTTATATGGGTGTGAAGCGTGGTGATGAATGTTGCAGCGAGGAGAAGGCTGGAGGCAGTGGAGATGTCATGTCTGAGGCAATGTGTGGTGTGAATATAATGCAGAGAATTCGTAGTTTGGAAGTTAGAAGGAGGTGCGGGATTACCCAAAAATGTTGTCCAGAGGGCTGAGGAAGGGTTGTTGAGGTGGTTCGGACATGTAGAGAGAATGGAGCGAAACAGAATGACTTCAAGAGTATATCAGTCTGTAGTGGAAGGAAGGCGGGGTAGGGGTCGGCCTAGGAAAGGTTGGAGGGAGGGGGTAAAGGAGGTTTTGTGTGCGAGGGGCTTGGACTTCCAGCAGGCATGCGTGAGCGTGTTTGATAGGAGTGAATGGAGACAAATGGTTTTTAATACTTGACGTGCTGTTGGAGTGTGAGCAAAGTAACATTTATGAAGGGATTCAGGGAAACCGGCAGGCCGGACTTGAGTCCTGGAGATGGGAAGTACAGTGCCTGCACTCTGAAGGAGGGGTGTTAATGTTGCAGTTTAAAAACTGTAGTGTAAAGCACCCTTCTGGCAAGACAGTGATGGAGTGAATGATGGTGAAAGTTTTTCTTTTTCGGGCCACCCTGCCTTGGTGGGAATCGGCCAGTGTGATAATAATAAAAAAATACTAATTACACTGGAAACAGTAGTCAGTCATGTTTCCCTGTCATATTTCATCACAGAGGATGGGGCTCATACAAGGTGTTGAAATCTTGTCAGCCTGAGTTGGGAGATTTCAGTATGGTAATGAGGATACTGTCAAGCATTCCAGCAACGGTTCATCAGCTACAGGAGTTTCAAAGATTTCCTTCCAGCATAGCTAGAGTTACTTTCATTTGAGAATTGCCATCTCTTAGAATAGCCTATCACATACATAAGAGAAGGTCATGATTCAATAAACATTCACAGCAGCATTGAGATGTGGAACTGAATCAATTCCACAAAATATAAATATGAACTGGAAGATTTTTCAGTTAATCCTGAACATGTGAAAATTCACTTGAAGGATGTGGGGGGTGATTAACTTGTTACTCTCAGTTTGTTTCATGGTGAACATAATGCACAGTGAACTCCATAATAGTAAAGTTTGTTCCTCTATTACATTCACAAAGCACTAGAGCAGTTTGGTCATACAGCTATACCAACATCCTATCAAGCGTTATCAAATGTACACTATTATTTTCAACTTGCTGCTGGCATGATCAATTCCCTCTCATAACCTACTGACTAGTAAACAATTCAGTGATCAGTCTGGAAACTAATGCACAGTATACTATTAAACTATGATGACACTCTCAGCAATAGTTTCAAGGATTAAATGGATGGGCAAACTGTATTTACCTAGATTTTAAATAAGCTCTTGATAAAAGTTCTTCATGATATTAATTTGGAAGCCTCAGAACCTAGGAGGAATAAAAAATTAAATTACTAAAATGGAAGAATGACAGAAAAATGAGTTATCAGGAAATAAATAAAATTATGGAGAGATGTTAGCATTTGATGCAGAAACATTAGGTGCAATAAATAAAAATGCTGGTCTCTTAAGGATGACCGAGTAAATGTAGTAAAAGGAGTGATAAACAGATGATGGAATTTAATGTAGATAAATGCCATGTAAAAGAAATGAGAAAGGGTGAAACAAGGCTACAGAAAGAAAGATTGATAAAATATTTAGTGCCAGACAGATAAATGGATATGGGAGTTAAAAAATTGTCACTGGAAGATCATAGACATAACTGCCAGAAACTTGTGTGCTACAATACTTCTGTGAATTATAAAACTTCTTTAAATATAGGAACGGGAAAATGTCTAAAAGACGGCATACACAAAGTCAAAATTGGAATATGTAGCAGTGGAGTTGTGCCCACTGCTTGGATACATTTAAAGTTCCAAAGAGCAGCTACAAAACAGTTATCAATTAAAATACGAGTTATGATTAACCCTTTCAGTAGGCCATCAGATAGAACCACGTCACTGAGGCCAGGGTCCCTCACATAGTTCAATGTCATGAGCTCGGTTTATTCATATAAGCTGTGAGTGGGAAGTTTTAGCCTGGATATGAGAGAATGGGTCTGCACGGTGAGTGTGCACAGTATACATAAAAAAAAAAAAAAAAAAAAAACCTTCCCCACAGAGTGTTTGATGGGAAAAGCAAAACTACGACTATGTTTGGTTTAAAATAGCAATAGTTGTTTACTAGGATGGTTTTTATGGTTTTATTGGGTTTCTTGGTATCATGTGGCAGAATGGACGACATACTAATGAAATACAGTGGACCCCCGGTTAACGATATTTTTTCCATTTCAGGTGCCAGTACTGACCGAATTTGTTCCCATAAGGAATATTGTGAAGTAGATTAGTCCATTTCAGACCCCCAAACATACACGTACAAATGCACTTACATAAATACACTTATATAATTGGTCGCATTGGGAGGTGATCGTTAAGCGGGGGTCCACTGTACAGATGATTTTGTTTGGTTTCAGGACTGGAAGTAGCAGAAATATTTGATTTCTGTATTTGGTTCTGAGGACAGGTAAGGCCCCTACACCCTCAGTATGTTTTATGGATTTTGAATAGGTGGTTTGATTAGATTAATCGAATGCTGTAAACCATGATCATTCCTGGTTATGTTTTAATATCTGGGAAGCAGAGTAAAACATCTAAATTTGTGTGAATATGAATTCATAATGGAAGGTAAGTGTAATATACAAAAGGCCTGGCGATTTGACTAATGAACAGAAAATGTTTTAGAGCCAGGAATGTCTAAACTGTTTATTTTTCACTTTTTAAATTGATATTTTTTGAATTGTATAAAATTACTCAAATTACCATCTTCTGTATACTTTTGAATGGGCAGGTTCTTGTGCTCAATCAATGGAAAAGAAGGCATATTAGTGAAACAGCCAAGAATCTGGTCAAAAGGAACAACAAAACTGACTTAAAATAGGACTCAAAGTCAGCAATGCTTAAATTGTGCAGACAGCTAACTGCACCTGCATAATTGTGTTATGTTTTCCATCAAATGTCGTACTTCTGGTATCATTACCCTAAGAAAAAGATTCTCCAACATTTAAAAAAAGTGGACACTGGGAGCAACATTAATTTCTGGAGTCTGGACAGTGAAAAGGTTAAAGGATGAAAGCGGTAAAAACATGACCTTTCTGGTTGATTGGAGGAGGGGTAATACGACAACCACATTTAAGGCCATAAAAGGACATGAACAATTAGACAGAGGATTTCCTTGCACCTGCAAAAGGGCTAACAATCAGACACAGTTGTAAACTGAGAAAGTGGAATTGAGGGATACAGGAAATTTATCTTCATAGAGTGGTAGATAAACAGAATGAATTACAAGAGGAGACCAAGTGCTTCAATTACAGGAAATTTAAAAAACATACGTAGATAAGACACATGCAACAGTTAGGTATCTTTATTTCGAAACGTTTCGCCTACACAGTAGGCTTCTTCAGTCGAGTACAGAAAAGTTGATAGAAGCAGAGGAGACTTGAAGACGATGTAATCAGTCCATCACCCTTAAAGTTTTGAGGTGGTCAGTCCCTCAGTCTGTACTCGACTGAAGAAGCCTACTGTGTAGGCGAAACGTTTCGAAATAAAGATACCTAACTGTTGCATATGTGTCTTACCTAACAACCTGTCGGTATTTTATACCATTTTAATGTTCAATATATGTAGAGTAAACAAATCATTGAATGCAGGACACCACGAGCACAGTTTTGCTCCTGTGGCAACAAATACATAGTTACTTGTAGCCATGGGGGCAATTCAACACAGCTGTCACATATACTACATTCCTGAAGGCAAAGACTAATCCTAGAAAATAAAAAAGCAACCACATAAATAAACTTAAGTTAAAATAGCAGAAGTTCACAATAAAAAATAAACAACACCTGACTGAGATACTACTAACCTCGTATCCACGGCGGATGGATGCATGGTCGAAGGATGAAAAATAACCATTGTGAGGCCAGGGGAATGTGGTACAGTGCAATTCCAACTCCGAGGCCTTCACAGACTCATTAAGAGCATAAACCATACCTGCAGCTCCTCCTCCTAGCACACCCATAACACCAAGCACCTGAACAATGAATTGTTTATCAGTTATGCATTACTTAGATGTTGTTTAAAAAGAAAAAAATACCGATTATTTTTTTTTATAAAATGATAAATTACAAAGAAACACTGAAGAAGCTAAACATGCAAGAATAAAAACACAATGTTGTATATACAATACGTAACTAAAACAAAACTGAAGAAAAATACTTTAAAAAATCACATGGTACTTACAGCTTTCCTTGTAGTTGTCATGTCTCTTAGTGTTGAGAACTTGGCTGTTGGCTGAAAAAAGTAATAAATATTACTAGTAAGTATATAACCATTATAAAACTATTACCTTTAAAAAACAAAATTTCAACCCCCCCCCCCTCATTTCCAGTGTAAAACTTTAAAATTGAATGTAAAAATGACAAATAAGATATTGCCTAGGAACATAATGAGATAAGACTATCATGCATACAGGAAAATGTAAAATTTATTTCAATATGTTTACCTAGGTATAATGGTAGGGTTTTTTTTCTCATTCATGATTACCTTTCCCAGGTATAAGATTTATTCAGATTTTTAACCCTGAGTGTTAGCCACCAATGAAATTCAGCATGTCATCCAGGTCTGTCTTATTTCTATTGTGGTCCTTCAATCATGTCATGCCCACTGCTTCAGTTATTTTGTCTGTTCTCGTGACTTTCACGATCCTTCTACACACAGGATAGTAAAGAATGTCAGTAGAGGGCCATTATTTGTTTGTTACCCCTGTTTACTGTCCCTTTTCTCCTTGCCTTCACTCGCTCTTGACTTCTCTTCCCCCCAGGATGCCACCCACACCAGTCAACTGACACCCAGGTATCTACTTACTGCTAGGTGAACAGGGACAGCAGGTGTAAGAAAACATGCCCAATGTTTCTACTCTGTTGAGGATTGAATCATGGATACTCAGTATGCGATGCAAGAGCGTTGCTTAAATTATTCAGCAGGAAATGCGAAACCTTTAATGGAAAACTAATCTGAAGGATCTGGGAGTGATAATGTCAAAGAATCTCACTTTCAAAGATTACAACAGTGTATCTACCACATCTGTTAGGAAAATGATAGGATGGATAAAAAAACATTCAAAACTAGGGATGCCAAGCAAATGATGATTCTCTTCAAATTGCTTGTACTCTCTAGGCTGGAATATTGCTGTACACTAACTGCCCCTTTCAAGGCAGGTGAAATTGCTGGTCTGGACAATTTAGAGAATTTTAACTGCACATGTAAATACAATAAAGCACGTAAATAACTGGTAACTGAAAATCCCTTGACCTGTACTCCTTGGAACACAGGCGAGAAAGATACATGATAATATACACCTGGAAATCCTAGAGGGGCTAGTCCCAAATCTGCACTCGGAAATCACTCTACTAAAGCAAAAGACTCAACAGGAGATGCAACATCCCCCAATGAAAAGCAGAAGTGTCACGAGTATGCTAAGAGACAACACGGTAAGTGTCGGGCCCAAAACTGTTCAACTGCCTCCCAGCATACATAAGAGGGATTACCAATAGACCCCTGTCTTCAAGAAGGCACTGGACAGACACCAAGTCAGTACCTGACCAGCCGGACTGTGGTTCATACGTCAGTTTACATGAGGCCAGTATTAATGACCTGGTTGACGAGGTCTTGACCCACCACAAGACCTGGTCATGAACCGAGCTGCCGGGGTGTTGACCCCCATAACACCCTCCAGGTCATACAGCACTTAATATAGGTTGTACACTAATAACCCACACATAGGAGAATGGAACTTATGACAACCTTAATGACCCAGGTTGGACCAAAACGTCATCATAGGTGTCATTCTCCTATGCGCGGGTTATCTAGCAAGTTTATTCAGGTATGCACAAATACAGTTACACATTATTATTATTATAAAAGAAGTGCTAAACCACAAGGGCTATACAGCGCTGCATACAGTTACACAGACTATCATACATCGCAGCATGTGTAGACGGTACTGTACATGCATCACGGTATCGTATCTTTTTCATATACGTTGGATGAAGACACGAGTGGGCGAGTTAGACCTGTCTAGCATGGGTGGAAACGGCAGGTGGAAACATTCGACACGTTTCCTTACACCTGTTGTCCTGTTCACCTAGCAGCAAATAGGTACCTGGGTGTTAGTGGACTGGTGTGGGTGGCATCCTGGGTGTTAGTGGACTGGTGTGGGTGGCATCCTGGGTGTTAGTGGACTGGTGTGGGTGGCATCCTGGGTGTTAGTGGACTGGTGTGGGTGGCATCCTGGGTGTTAGTGGACTGGTGTGGGTGGCATCCTGGGTGTTAGTGGACTGGTGTGGGTGGCATCCTGGGTGTTAGTGGACTGGTGTGGGTGGCATCCTGGGTGTTAGTGGACTGGTGTGGGTGGCATCCTGGGTGTTAGTGGACTGGTGTGGGTGGCATCCTGGGTGTTAGTGGACTGGTGTGGGTGGCATCCTGGGTGTTAGTGGACTGGTGTGGGTGGCATCCTGGGTGTTAGTCGACTGGTGTGGGTGGCATCCTGGGTGTTAGTGGACTGGTGTGGGTGGTATCCTGGGTGTTAGTGGACTGGTGTGGGTGGCATCCTGGGGGACAAGATTAAGAACATAAGAACATAAGAACGAAGGAACACTGCAGAAGGCCTACTGGCCCATGCGAGGCAGGTCCAAGTCTCCTACCGGCTTAAGCCAATGCACCCAACCTAGTCAGGTCAGGTCACATTGACTTAAGGGAGGAACACGGCAACTGACCTGTTAGCACAAGCTATCAGGTCTAACTCACACCCACCCACATCTACTCATGTATTTATCCAACCTATTTTTAAAGCTACACAACGTTCTGGCCTCTATAACTGTACTTGGGAGTTTGTTCCACTCATCCACAACTCTATTACCAAACCACAATGGAAATAAGTTAGACAGTCCTCGATGACGCACTGACTTTCTTGGGTTATCCTGGGTGGCTAACCCTCCGGGGTTAAAAATCCGAACGAAATCTTATCTTATCTCTGTCAATAGGCCTACAAGAGAGCTTCATTAGCCTCGTTCATATATCCTTGACAGACATAATTGTCACCACATATTTAGAAACCATTACAATTAATATTTATGGTTTAATCAAACATTTAACACAAACATTGTTGCTTCTTGCAATATACAAATTATATTTTGATAAGCACTAAACCCTGAGGGGTCAGTGTCTGGGAATGGGAGACTTCAGGTTCAATCCAAGAACAGACAATTCCTTGGATCAAGAGCCCCCTCACTAGCATCATGGAGCCTCCCTTGAGGGTTTTAACACAAAGTCCAGTTCCTTGGATCAAGATCCCCTCCCTTGAGGTATAAAATATTTCCTACACGAAGTCTCAGTGGAAACTTCCATTCATTTGGTCAGCCAAGGTTAAACTTCATGTTATTCACTATATAAAACCACTGTGAAAATTTGGAAGTATATAAGATCTCCAAATCAAAACTTGTAATAAGAAATATGTTATAAATATGTGGAGTATTGATATAAACAAACTTGTACGGTTGCAACATAAATGTTTTTCTACTGACCAGAACCTCGAGCAGCAACATTATAACACACACTGACATACAGGTAACACTTCAAGGTAAATGGGTAGAATGACAGGCGATATTTACCTGCAAAGCAAGCCATGGCACAGAAGCCTTTAATAAACCGGCTCGGGCAACTCGGGTGGCAGTGCCGGCCATCTTGGAAAGTGAAGACTGGCGAGACTAATCGATGTTTTATTTTCATTTTATTATTATTATTCCATATTATTATTCAACAAACTACTCTACTCAAGTATTTTAAAATAATTTATATTTTTCTAATTGGTTTGTATATATTTGCGGCTTGTTTAGTTGAAATAATATGACAATGATGTGTTTCACTTACATTTGCCGTGTTTTGTCTTCTAAAACTATCAGCTGTTTAGTAACAAATCAACAAAGACTTCTAATACAAAAATATTTATATGTAATTATGATTTTATATATTTTTATAAAGTAAAGTAAATATATAAATATATAGAGCTTTATGTTGCTTCAATATATAAACCTTCTCTTGCATTTCATAGCGCATAAAATAATTTATATGTTAAATTATTACTTTTTGGACAGATAAAATACATAGTTTTGAATATAATGCTAATATAAATATTTTATAATTTGTTATAGAGGTTTTTAATGGATTACAAAGATAAAAGTGCGTTCTTCGCAATTTCTAAAAGTATTGGAACTTCCCGCCTGTAGATCAACCTTTCAAAGACTTTGCAAATATTCAAAAAATCCAACAACGGCATATATAAATTATAAAAATTTAAAACATGATTGACTGAAGAAGAAAATAATATTTTTTTCGTAGAGAGAGCAGTATGGAGGCTGAAAAGTTAATATAAATGTAGTTATTGCGGTGGTTGACCCGTGACGTCACAGACCGGTAACCTTCATGGAAGAGAATGAGTGAGAGGTCGCTCAAATCTTAGCAAATATCCAAAGCCATCGGTGTTATTAATTGGTTAAAAGTGAACCACAGCAATGAGTGGGCCTATACCCTTCCTGGGCAGTAAAATAAGCCTGATATCCAAATCAGAAATTCGATATGAGGGCATTTTGTACACCATTGACGCTCAGGAGTCGATTATCGCCCTGGCCAAGGGTAAGTTTTGTTTGTTTACAATAACAAAAGCTGGACCTCTATGAATAAACTTAACCTTTATGGCTCTACCTTCCATTTTTAACTTAATTTTCCCCCGTCAGTGAGTGAGGCAACTCGCTCCCTCACCCATTTTGGTTTAATTTTGAGTTTTGGTTTATACTTTCAGTCGCACTTTCTAAAATGACGCGGAAATGTCTTTGTAAACTTAATATTGTTTTAATTTTGTGCTATAAAAACGACCATTTTTTTAATTTAAGATAATTTGGTTTTACGACGGAATTACTTTAAATGGCGTAATAAATGACGCGGGTTTAGTGTTAACTATTAGGTAGGCGTTAAATCCGTACGGGTGGTCAAGCTTACTGTCATTTGAGCTAACTAGTTTGATCCGAGGAAGGAGAGACTAGCAGACATTCCTCACATCAAGAACCTTTTATCAGCATTAAATGGCCATTGTTATCTATGACATATGTAGTAAATTATTAGCTACTAATATTTTACAATCACGTGACTTAAGTCAGCTGATTATTACTTAAAATGACTCGTTAGACACTAATTTGTATTATATGGTAAACTAGGCAGGTACTTTGTTGCCTGTTTAGGGCTTCAGATCCAAGGGAGTGGGGCTCTTCCCATGTATCAGACTTGAATATCACCTGTTTCCCTATGGGTTTAGTGCTTCCCCCTTAATATAGTTTATATCATTTGTAAGTCACATTTCTGCCTACTTGAGAAAGGTTATGAAAGACAGTAAACTCTAGTTTATACCAATAAATGCCTTGAATCAGTGGCAAGTACTAGGGACTGGTAGTTTATTTTGGTACACTTGTACTGTTATGGTGTAAATTACCTGGGATAACCCATAAACAGTCGAAGCAAGATTAATACCTGGGACTTGTAGGAACTTAAAGGAAGGAGAGTACCAGGGACTGGCAGGCACTTGCAGCAGCTACCAGGGACTGGCAGCAGCTACCAGGGACTGGCAGCAGCTACCAGGGACTGGCAGCAGCTACCAGGGACTGGCAGCAGCTACCAGGGACTGGCAGCAGCTACCAGGGACTGGCAGCAGCTACCAGGGACTGGCAGCAGCTACCAGGGACTGGCAGCAGCTACCAGGGACTGGCAGCAGCTACCAGGGACTGGCAGCAGCTACCAGGGACTGGCAGCAGCTACCAGGGACTGGCAGCAGCTACCAGGGACTGGCAGCAGCTACCAGGGACTGGCAGCAGCTACCAGGGACTGGCAGCAGCTACCAGGGACTGGCAGCAGCTACCAGGGACTGGCAGCAGCTACCAGGGACTGGCAGCAGCTACCAGGGACTGGCAGCAGCTACCAGGGACTGGCAGCAGCTACCAGGGACTGGCAGCAGCTACCAGGGACTGGCAGCAGCTACCAGGACTGGCAGCAGCTACCAGGGACTGGCAGCAGCTACCAGGGACTGGCAGCAGCTACCAGGGACTGGCAGCAGCTACCAGGGACTGGCAGCAGCTACCAGGGACTGGCAGCAGCTACCAGGGACTGGCAGCAGCTACCAGGGACTGGCAGCAGCTACCAGGGACTGGCAGCAGCTACCAGGGACTGGCAGCAGCTACCAGGGACTGGCAGCAGCTACCAGGGACTGGCAGCAGCTACCAGGGACTGGCAGCAGCTACCAGGGACTGGCAGCAGCTACCAGGGACTGGCAGCAGCTACCAGGGACTGGCAGCAGCTACCAGGGACTGGCAGCAGCTACCAGGGACTGGCAGCAGCTACCAGGGACTGGCAGCAGCTACCAGGGACTGGCAGCAGCTACCAGGGACTGGCAGCAGCTACCAGGGACTGGCAGCAGCTACCAGGGACTGGCAGCAGCTACCAGGGACTGGCAGCAGCTACCAGGGACTGGCAGCAGCTACCAGGGACTGGCAGCAGCTACCAGGGACTGGCAGCAGCCACCAGGGACTGGCAGCAGCTACCAGGGACTGGCAGCAGCCACCAGGGACTGGCAGCAGCTACCAGGGACTGGCAGCAGCTACCAGGGACTGGAGGCTATTTTAGGTGGCATCCTGGGGAAGACAGTCAAAATGCCTTGGTGATAATTACACATAGCTAGTGGCTTGATTGGGATATCTTGGGTTAGTGTTAAAATAATTTTATACTTAAATGTCTCATTATCTTGTCTAATTAGTTGAGAAATTTAAAAACAAAAGCAAACTAAGTACTTTCGATGTCATAAAATATGGAAGTTGAGGTTACTTTTGCAATGTGGACTAAGATTAAGGGACCTCCTAGCTAGTGTTGAATTAAGTGAACTGGCTCGAGATCATTACCAGGTCAGTCTGACACTTGAGAAGATTCTTCCCAGTGTGATACACTGAGAGCATATGTAAGTTCCTGCAGTTGGATAGATAAGCTTTATGGATAAATGCAGTACCAAAAGATTGAATATAATGGAAACAGTATACTAGTGCATTAAGATATCACCTGTCAAGTCAAATGCTAAATTTTAAGACTTGAAAGGTACTATTAAAAATTCCCTTGCATTTGAAATTTGGCTTGTGAGGGGTATCTGACAAATAGTTTTAAGGTAGTTTATGTATAGGACTATGATTTGGGAGAAGATACTCTGGTTGTTTTAATGGAAATACTGTGTTTTAAACACAGTGCATGTCTCTTTACTAAGCTACAAAGAGTCAAACATTAATAATAGACATGAATACATATGAGCAAGATCAGTTACTAATGTGGTTATCAGACAAGACATTAAAGTGAGTCACTGGGCTCTGATTACCACTTTCCAGGGGTTCTTAAGAAATTTAGCAGAGAACTATTAGGTACATGACTTATTCAACATGAATGGTGTCATGCCAGACATATCCTTTTTGTTTTAAAAACCAGCAGTCATCCACCAAGGCAGTGTGACCTTAAAATAAAAAATTAAAAAGCTTTCTTGCCAGAATTGAGCAAACATGATAGTTTAAATGATCCTTTGAGTTACATCCCCATCTGTACTTCAGAGTGCACTGTACTTGGCACTGCTAAAACTCCCTGCTAACGGGTGTCTCTGAATCCTTTCCATGGTACATTTCTCTCACAAACAGCATGTCAAACCATAAAAACCCGCTGTTATCCACTTGTTCGTACCTGACACCATTAGACTAGATTTCAGGATAGTGAAGCCCTTAGTGCTCTTAAACCTTTACCCTCTCCCTCAAACCACTAAATTATGCCTCTTTAAAAGCAGGAAACTAATTCTTCACTTTCTATTCATCACCTTCCCAATGGGAAAATTATCGTAATCATAAAACTCATAGCTTCACTTGGTCAATAAATCTGAACAATGAGTATCATGATAAATTGAACTTTTTGTTTCATGAGGGCTTCTTGTAATGCAAAGTTCATGGTTTTCTGAAATGCTTGCTTGAGATATGGCTAGTCTTTTGTGGACTTCAGAGAGGCCTGTCATGGTTCTGTGCATGACTGGTTTGTTACTCTTTATTGGATATGACTGATCATAGGCACTAGTTGACACAAGAGGTGAAATTAGTGGTGACCACTCAGATGGCATTCCATGGGGAAGAGGGCTGAATATGGGATCCCTTGTTTGTAGATTTTTTTTTTTTTTTTTCCCAAAAAGATAAAAAAAAATTAATATTGATAAAGGTTACTAGTGACTAAACTAGGCATAAAATACATTAGTCTTGCAATTTTATTGAAGTATTGAGCTGAGAATAAGCACAAACTAATTCCAGGGCTTTACTCCAGTATCTAGACTAGCAATGTTTGTACACCTCTGGCAAGACGGCTGTTGAACGAGTAATGGTCGTTTCCTTTTATTGGGACATCCTGCCTTGGAGAAAAGATTGTTATAAAAAAAAAAATTGACAGATGGGCTTAGCCCTGGTCTAACAGTAAAACCTCAATTTAAGACTTATACTGTAACTGATCTGAGCAGGCACTTTCCAAAATTATCCATGCTTCTTACTACCTAGGAAAAATTCTTTGGTTCTATTGGTAATTGCCATTACTGGACAACCTTTCCTTAGTTATCTTGTTAAATCAATGTTTTAATCTTAATATTTCTCAAGTAAGGTTCTTATTCTTCCCAAATACAGAATACTTTGCCATTATGTACTAAATCTTAATTCACCCAATTAAATTTTCTTTTTAGTGCGATCGTTTGGGACAGAAGACCGCCCAACAGAGATGCCAGTTCCTGCAAGGGATGAAGTTTATGAATACATTATTTTCAGAGGAACAGACATCAAGAAGATAGAAGTTTGTGATACGCCTAAGCAACCCACCCTACTTCACAATGACCCTGCAATTGTCCAGGTGTGATTTAGATCCTACATAATTTTTTGTAGCGTGTTGTCTTGATAATGGAGAAGAATCCTTCCTCTGTAAGCCATGCATGTTGTAAGAAGCAACTAAAATGATGGGAGCAAGGGCCAGTAACCTTTCTGTATAAATTACTAAATGTAAATGGAAGAAACACGAGTTTCGATGTTCACTTTGGTAATTTCAGAAATTTATTTTACTGTTGCAAAGCTTAGTGATATTGGTAGTTTGTATGCTAATAGCAACATAATTTAAACTATTTTGTGCTGTATATCCCTTGTGGCTTAGCGCTTCTTTTTGATTACAATAATAATAATGAATTATTTTGTGCTATTCACAATCTTTCATCTTTCAGCATTCGGCCCCAGCAGTTCCATCATCTTTCCAGGCAGCACCGTTCTCACGTCAATCCCTTGGTCCAATTGGTGGAGGCCTGGGTCTGTCCTACAGTGCATATGGCCAGTCAATGACACAGCAGGGTATCCCAGGGGCGGGAGGTTTTCCTATGGGCTCGACAACTCAGCCCAGTGAGTTGAATACTGTGGCAGGTGGTGGTGGTGTGGGTAGTAGTGTTGGTGGTGGTGGTGGTAGCCTGGATCAGCAGTCTGGCACTGTCCCTGTGGCAGTGCCAGCCCCAATTGGTCCTCCACCCCAGTCTGGTACACATGCACTTCACCAAACAGGTAGGAGCAAGTGCCACGTAAATCTTAATTTAGTTTTAATGTATTGGGAGGGGTTGAGATAGTATGTACTGTATGTAAAAATAAATATCTTAAATACAAAGTGTAATGAGTGGTTGGTGGCACAAATCCCATGAAGATGAAATAGAAAAATACTGCACATTACTGCTTCCCTGAGGTACAAGGGTAATGTATAAACATGTGGATATGAATTAAGGTCAGGCTAGGAACAAACAACCATAGGTCTTGCGAGAAGCAGAAATTGGGTAATGATGCATTCGTATCAGAATACATTATTTAGTTTTTGTACATTTGAATTTTTGTATGCATTGGAAGCAGTTTTTCTTGTCCAAAGGCAGGGGGAGCTGAAATGCCTGGTAAATACTTCTCAAAGTTTATGAATCATTCTTATTGTTGACTAGTATGAACCAGTAGTTTGATTCGTCCAGTGATGGGGCTGGTATTTTTGCTTGTATTGTGACTTTGTGCATGTAGAAAGTCTTTATGCTAATTTTAATCTAGTAAGAATATTGACAAAATAATTAGCTGAATGTTAAATTTATGATTATATCCTCCAATTAATGGTTATATCCAGGAAAGGTAACTCTTTCACTGTTCTATTTACTGATAGATTTTCTTGGTGTACTGTATCACATGGTCCCTTCATTATTCCAAGTCATAAGTGCCATAAACCTTTCTGCCTTATACTGAGCACTGATAATTTTGATCTTAGTTATTTGTTACTACCCCAGTAACTACAATTGGTTTGTGGTGGAACCCATGGCACGAGTCCTAAAACTGGCAGGCCCAGTTCAGGCAACCATTCAGTGCTAGCCTAACAAGATTCACCCAACTAGGTGTTTCTGTATATGGGAAGTTGGTATGGGCCTATGCATTTGTACAAGGCTGCTTGTGTGTGTAGAAATGAATTTTGTTTTATTATTAGGACTGGCTTGCTGCAAGGGGTTCAAACCCATTAGATGTTTTGTTAGTTGCCAAAGATAGTTTTAGGATTTTGAGTCGCATTATTCCAGTGTTTGTAGAGGACCAGTGAGGGTGAGCAGACTATACTGCAACCATGTTGCTGACAAATCATTATCAATTGGAAATGTGTATATAAATGTGTGACTAGAAAAGTGTTGTGATTTCATGCATAGGAAGTTGTACATCACAAATAACTACTGTACTGTCTCCTCTTCAAGGGGGGCTCCTTGGCGTGGTGAAGAGGCTCTTGGTCTGAGGAATTAGACCTATCGGTCTTCTTCCTCAGACCGAACCTAATTACCCCCCAATCTCCCCTCCCCTATCCCATCCTCCCCTTTTTCCTTTCCTCCTCCTCCTCCCCACTCCTCCCTTTTGCCCTTCCTCTTTTTGTCCTTTGGGATTTCTCCCACAGGCGCGCTAGTTCCTGGGTAGGAGAAAGGATACCGGGGTCCATCCCATTCCGTTGAGGTTCTTAGCGGTGGCGTAGTTTGCCGTGGAATCTGGATCGCCTGGGGATGTCCCGATCCCTCTCCGGTATCCCGGAGTAGCTTTGGGTGTCTTTCGGGCGACGAGTGTATCTCTGGAAGCCACCTTTCGGATTCCGGGGGTGGTGGCCGAAGGAGGTACGCTTTGTGGCGGATATCCGGCCGCCCTCTCTTTTGTCCACCGAGGTAGCTCGGCAGATGTGAGGTTGCTATCCCGGATTGTTAGTTTACTAGCATGATGGGTAGGGTATGGCATGGGTTCCATGCTGCATCTGCGCTACTTGCGGTGCTGAGGTCCTCTTGGGCGCGGAGGGAGATTTCTGGCCCTTTCATTCCTCCTAGGAACTATCCCTCCCCGGTCCCCCCTTTTTTTTTCTTTTTTTTTATTTTTATTTTCTTTTCTTTCTTTTTTTTTCTTAAAAACAAAAAGAAAGAAGTAACCTAACCATGGCAGCCCTAGTCCATGAACCTGGTACCCCCGGGCCCCTTCTTGATACCGCACCCCGTTCTGACCCCGCCTCGTCTTTGGACCATTCTTCAGACATTCCTCATGCCTCTGTACCTATTGCCGGTGCTGTTTTCTCACCCGCTTCAGGTACTGAGGCCTCGACTGACTCCTTCGATTTATCAGACCTTCACTCTCCTTGACTATGCTTCCGGCCTCTCCTCTACGGTGCGGCAATTTTCAAATCGCCGACCCGTTCCACGTCGGACCAACTCTGGTCCCACGCCTAAACGTCAACGACAATTACCTGCTGATGATACTTCTCCACCTTCACCTTCTCGTTCTTCTCAGAAACGATCGACACGTCCTTCACTACCTTTCCACGCTCAGTTTCAGACTGAACAGTGGACTAAATTCTTCACTTTACGACCAAACTTCCTCTACTGCCTATCTTTCTGACCATAGTATTGGCAAGGCACTCCTACGCCATGTTGGTAAAAGATATTTCTTTTTCATGCTCTTAAGAGCGGTACGCGCATCATTACCGTACAGAATGCTACCCAGGCTCGTGAGCTCTCTCGTCTTTCCCATATAGATACTGTTCCTGTCACCCTTGAAAAACATCATTCCCTCAATTCTTGTAGTGGTACCGTCATTCTGCCCCATACCATAGTTCAACAAAATTTCCAGACATGTGGCACCGACATTCTAGAACAGCTGGAACTCCAAGATCTTCCAGTCCTCAAGGTAGACACTTACGTTCTTCCTGCCCGTGGGCGGAGACGATACCCTAGCAATGTGGCTCGTTTAACTTTTGACAGCCGAGACTCCCATCATAAGAACATAAGAAAGGAGGAACACTGCAGCAGGCCTGCTGGCCCATACTAGGCAGGTCCTTTACAATTCATCCCACTAACAAAACATTTGCCCAACCCAATTTTCAATGCCACCCAAGAAATAAGCTCTGATGTGAAAGTCCCACTCAAATCCAACCCCTCCCACTCATGTACTTATCCAACCTAGATTTGAAACTACCCAAAGTCCCAGCCTCAATAACCCAACTAGGTAGACTGTTCCACTCATCAACTACCCTATTTCCAAACCAATACTTTCCTATGTCCTTTCTAAATCTAAACTTATCTAATTTAAATCCATTACTGCGCGTTCTCTCTTGGAGAGACATCCTCAAGACCTTATTAATATCCCCTTTATTAATACCTATCTTCCACTTATACACTTCGATCAGGTCTCCCCTCATTTTTCGTCTAACAAGTGAATGTAACTTAAGAGTCTTCAATCTTTCTTCATAAGGAAGATTTCTAATGCTATGTATTAATTAGTCATCCTACGCTGAATGTTTTCTAACGAATTTATGTCCATTTTGTAATACGGAGACCAGAACTGAGCTGCATAATCAAGGTGAGGCCTTACTAATGATGTATAAAGCTGCAGTATGACCTCTGGACTTCTGTTGCTTACACTTCTTGATATAAATCCCAGTAATCTATTTGCCTTATTACGTACGCTTAGGCATTGCTGTCTTTGGTTTAAGGTTGCTGCTCACCATAACCCCCAAGTCCTTTTCGCAATCTGTATGGCTAAGTTCTACATCATTTAATTTATAAGTACTAGGGTTATGGGCACTCCCAAGCTTCAGAACCTTGCATTTATCTACATGACTGCATCTGCCACTTTTCTGACCAAGAATAGAGTTTGTTTAAATCCTCCTGAAGTTCCCTAACATCTACGTTGAATCAATTATCCTACCTATCTTTGTGTCATCGGCGAATTTGCTCATATCACTAGTAATTCCCTCATCAAGATCATTGATATATATTATAAACGACAACGGGCCCAAGACTGATCCCTGTGGAACGCCACTTGTTACAGATCCCCACTCGGATTTAACCCCATTTATGGACACTCTCTGCTTCCTGTCAGTGAGCATGACTCGATTCCACGAGAGCACTTTTCCCCCAATGCCATGAGCTGCCACTTTCTTTAACAGTCTTTGGTGCGGAACTCTATCAAAAGCCTTACTAAAATCTAAGTAAATAATATCAAATTCTTTATTGTGGTCAACAGCCTCAAAAGCTTTACTGAAGAAAGTTAATAAATTAGTTAGACAAGACTGGCCTCTTGTGAATCCATGCTGAGTATCATTTATCAAGCTATGCTTATCGAGATGGCTTCTTATAATCTCAGCTATAATTGACTCTAGTAATTTGCCTACAATTGAGGTCAGGCTTATTGGGCGGTAATTTGACGGTAACGACTTGTCCCCCGTTTTAAAATAGGGGTTACATTAGCCATCTTCCACATATCGGACACTACACCTGTTTGAAGAGATAAATTAAAAATATTAGTTAATGGTTCAAAAGAGTTCCATTTTTGCATTCCTTAAGAACTCTTGAAAAAACCTCATCAGGGCCCGGCGACTTATTTTGCTTCAGTCTATCTGCCTCACAACCCTCTCACTAGTGACTGTGATGTTACATAATTTATCTTCTTCTAGCCCACTGAAAAATTAATTACTGAATATTGTTAGTGTCTTCCTGTGTAAAAACTGAGAGAAAAAAATTTTTCAAAATCAAGCACATTTCATTTTTTGTCATAAGGGCCCATAGTTATTTTAACCAGGGACGGGGAAAGCAGCTACCGGGGGGGGAAAGCGGGCTCCCGGGGATGGCAGCAGCAAACCAGGGATGGCGGGCAGCTTACCGGGGGAACTGGAGGCTTTTTTTTGGGGGGCACCCCGGGGGGAAGCGGGGTTAAAAATCCCCTTGGGTTTATAATTACACATAGCAAAGGGGCCCTTGTTTGGGATATTTTGGGGTTTAGTGTTAAAATAAATTTTTATATTAAATGTCTCATTATCTTTTTAAATTAGTTGAGAAATTTAAAAAAAAAAAGAAAACCAAGTACTTTCGATGTCTTTAAAATATGGAATTTGGGTTTAAATTTTGCAATTTTGGACAAAGATTAAGGGACCCCGGCTAGTTTTGAATTATTTTAAACTGGTTTCGAGATCATTACCAGGTCAGTCGCCCATTTTGAGAAGTTTTCTTCCGTGTGATCCCTTGAGGTTT